CTAGTTAACAAAGACTTTATAAAGATCAAATAAATAAATAGATAAATTTATTTATGGAATTGTTCTTTAATAAAATTTCATGCCTTAATACTTCAAAAGAAAAGGATGTCTACAAAGATACGACAAAAAAATCGAGAAAAAAATGAGTTAACATTGAAGGTAAAACAAGAACAAACAATGATGGTAAACTTATAACCCGCATGAAGCAAGACAGAATTTTTTGTAAGGACCACCATTGAATTAAATGGGACCATCCAGATTTAATTTCCTTTTTAAACACGAGTTGTTGTGGTTCTATTATTTGTAAGAATACAAAACAACATGTAACTTTGTTAGCAACTTTTATATACAAGTTTTGAAGTTCTGTCTAAAAATAATGAAGCTATGAATATGAACATGCTCTAAATATGAAGCTAAAAAATCAACTTTTATATCAAATTAAAGTTAAAAGTATTGTCTAATTCAACACATTGAAGGAAGTAAAAATCACTTAGCATATTTATGTTTAAATCCAACAATTGAGTAAAATGATTTTTTTTAATTACAACCAATTAACTTATGGGCATAAAACTCATCACCGTTTCTAGATTATTGGTCTATATGTCCAAATAATTCCATAGCATCAATAATAAGCTTAAGCTGAATATATTAATCAGCTTTTAATATAATGACAGGAAGTCCCGAAAATAAATGGATCCAAATAAATCAAACGTTGCATACCTAATCCTTTATAATTACGTTAAACATTTAGACACAAAGTTCCAATCAAATTCTAAATCGGATTGGAACCAATAGAGTCATTTTCAATTTGTTGCGCTTTTATTAAATTTAATATTTCATCATGTATCAATAGACATATTTAAGTATACTTTTCGAGTTATGGTTTAGAATTTAGAATAATGGGAAAGAAATCGTTTATGGATAATATTTCTATGGTTTATTATGAAGAATTTTTAGTAATATTATTCTCATCCACAACTTTTAATTTTTGAGTAAACCCTACTTTGTTATTAAAACCCTCAAATTTAAACATCTTGGATTTTAAACCTGTTATGTTGGTAATAATCGTAATTGTGTTATAATAGCTTATGGATAACAATTTATTGATTCATTATAAACAATTTTCATCCACAATATTATTTCCTTACATTTTTAGTTGTCGAGTTATAATAAAAATTTTTATCCAAATACGTCAATTTAGAGATTTTGGGATTTTAGGGTTTATAACTAAAAATATAAAATAATTGGAAAGTAATGACTTATGGATTATATTTTTGTGATTTATTACGAACAATTTTTATTAATACCATTATTCCCAGCCTTTTTAATTGTTCAGCTAAAACTCATTTAGTTGTTAAACGATTTAAATTTTTTTTTTTTTTGATTTTAAATCCGATAGGTTGGTAATAATATAATAATATAATCACTTGCGGATAACGTTTTGTTTATTTATTATAAATAATTCTCATTAACAACATTTTCTCCTATCATTTTTAGTTTACGGGTTAAAATAAAAATATGTAGCTAAAAACGTCGATTTCGAGATTTTAGGATTCTATAGTTTATAACTAAAAATACGAAATAGTTGTAAGGAAATCGCTTATTGATTATGTTTTTATGATTTATTATGAATATTTTTTAATAATATAATTCTTGTCTACAGCTTTTATTTTTTTGTAAACCCCACTTTGTTATTAAAAGCCTCGAATTTGAAATGTTTTGGATTAAAAGCGAGCTAGGTTGGTAATAATCATAGCTGAGTATTAATCGCTTATGGATTACGAATTGTTGATTCATTACCAACAATTTTCAACCATAACTTTTCCTCCTAGCATTTATAGATTATGTGTAGTGATAAAATGTGTATCACAAAAGTCAAATTAGAGATGTTAGGATTTTATATTTTATAATTATAAAAACCGATATAGTTGGAAAAAAATTGTTTATGGATCATGTTTTTAACATTTATTTGATTTATTGATTTAGGTTTTCATGTCTCATATTTGAAATGTTGGGGATTTTAAATCTACTAGCTTGGTAATAGCTATATTTGGGTCAAAATTGTTTACGGATAACGTTTTGTTGATTTATTACAAATAATTCGCATCAACAACATATTCTTCCATCAATTTTAGTTTTCGAGTTATAATAAAAATATTTTGTAAAAACTTCAATTTAAAAATTTTTGTATTTTATTGTTTAATACTAAAAATACGAAATAGTTGGAAAAAAATTGTTTATGGATTATGTTTTTGTGATTTATTATGAACAATTTTTGGTAATATCATTCTCATCCACAGCTTTTTATTTTTGAGGAAACTCCCATTATGTTATTAAATGCCTAAAATTTGAAACGTTTGGGATTGTAAATGTAATAGGTTGGTAACAGTGATGTTTGAATTAGAGCTGTATGCAGATAACGTTTTGTTGATTTATTACAAGTAATTCTAATCAACAACATATTCTTCCATCAATTTTAGTTTTCGAGTTATAATAAAAATATTTTGTAAAAACTTCAATTTAAAAATTTTGGTATTTTATTGTTTAATACTAAAAATACGAAATAGTTGGAAAAAAATTGTTTATGGATTATGTTTTTGTGATGTATTATGAACAATTTATGGTAATATCATTCTCATCCACAGCTTTTTATTTTTGAGGAAACTCCCATTATGTTATTAAATGCCTAAAATTTGAAACTTTTGGAATTAAAATCTACTAGGTTGGTAATAGTCACATTTGGAGTAGAGATGTTTGCAGATAACGTTTTCTTGGTTCATTACAAATAATTCTCACCTATAACATTTACTCCTAACATTTTTAGTTTTTGAGTTATAATAAAAATTTTATTCATAAACGCCAATTTAGAGATTTTGGGGTTTTAGGATTTATCAGTAGAAATATGAAATAGTCGGAATCAAATCGTTTATAAAGTATGATTTTGTGATTTATTATGAACAATTTTTGTTAATATCATTCTCATCAACAGCTTTTTATTTTTGAGAAAAACCTCACTTTGCTATTAAATGCCTCAAATTTGAAACTTTTGGAATTAAAATCTACTAGGTTAGCAATAGTCATATTTGGAGTAGAGATGTTTGCAGATAACGTTTTGTTGGTTCATTACAGATAATTCTCACCTATAACATTTTCTCCTAACATTTTTAGTTTTGGAGTTATAATAAAAAATTGTATTCAAAAACGCCAATTTAAAGATTTTGGGGTTCTACGATTTATCACTAGAAATACGAAATAGTGAGAATGAAATCGTTTATAAAATATGATTTTGTGATTTATTATGAACAATTTTTGTTAATATCGTTTTCATCCACAGCTTTTTATTTTTGAGAAAAACCTCACTTTGCTATTAAATGCCTCAAATTTGAAACTTTGGGAATTAAAATCTACTAGGTTGGTAATAGTCATATTTGGATTAACGATGTTTGAAGATAACGTTTTGTTGGTTCATTACAAATAATTCTCACCCATAACATTTCCTCCTAACATTTTTAGTTTATAATAAAAAATTGTATTCAAAAACGCCAATTTAGAGATTTTGGCGTTTTAGGATTTATCACTAGAAATATGAAATAGTTAGAATGAAATCGTTTATAGAATATGTTTTTGTGATTTATTATGAACAATTTTGACTAATATCATTCTCAATCATACTTTTTAATTATTGAGTAAAACCCATTTTGTTAAATACCACAAATCTTGGAAATCAACTTCAACTTGAGATCAACACTTGATGAAGACAACAAATTTGATTATGTCAATAAAAAACTTTATGTTTTTATAAAAACTTAAAATAATTTGATTAACTTGTAATGAATAAATTATTTAAAAAAGAAAAACATTCGTGAAACTAACAACTTTATTTTGTTAATGTTTTTAATTATATCACAACAGAATAAACAAATAAAATGAAGAGTTCTAAATTGGAGGACTAAACATCGATATTGTCAATAACCCTTTGGCACAAAAACAAAACAGTTGTCACCGTTCGAAAAATTATTTATGTTTTTGAGATGCTTCAACACAACCAATTGATTAAGATTTATGAGTAATAATTAACCTCCATTTCAATAGAAAAAAACATTCAACAATGATTAATTTTCCTTCTAAGTTACACAAAAATAAGTAATAATCCGCAAATACCATAAAATAGTTTTTAATGATTCATGAAGAAATCGTAAGAACAAATTCTAAAGATGTATTCATTCAAAAAAAAAGTGTATTGAAAAGATTAAGTAGTAGTATTGACAAACTAAATCCGAAAACTTTCAAATATTATGTTAATGAAGCGTTGTGAAACAACTTACATCTCTCTATTCACAACAATTTGAATAAATTTTTTAAAGTTAATAATCTTTAAAAAAATTAAATGATAAAAGTAAATAAGTTTTAAGTATCTGAATAAATTAAATGTAAATAAAATCTAAGAAGTTTGATGAATGGTAGCCGTAGTTGATGTAAAAGGGGAAGCAGAGAGCCTCGTTTCCGCCTGATTGCTATGATGAAGACCTGGTTTCTCAAGCGAATAAACTTAAATAAGGCATCGCACCTACCTTTTATTTATGTTATATGGTATCTATTCTAACTACATGTTATCAATTTTTTTTTATTTTTTATTTTTTTTAATGGATTTTATTTAAAACGAAAAACAACGAATAACGCAAAGAAATAAAAACGCAAATTCACTTGGAATGGTTTTTATTAAAAAAAAATAATCGAAATGGCAAAAATCGGAAACACGTCGGCTCTTCATCATGACAAACAGGCGATGGTATGCGAAAGATAGACACAGACGAACGGACGGACGTTACGGCCGGCGGTCGGTCGTGAGACCAAAAGCTCTTTTGTTCTTGATCGTCGCTCGTTTTTACTCTCTCTCCTCCGGCGTTCTCGTATACATATATACTTTTTTTTTGATTCGGCACAAACGCGACACTTGTCACTCACTCACTTGCGACGTCGTCACGTGTTTTCGCGCTTACCTGGACTTGTCTGCCAACTGAGGCCACCGATGAACATTTTCCTGAAACAAATCATAAATAGTAATAACTCATAACAGTAATAACCAACCAAATTCATCAAACAGTTAAAGAATGAAACTATTTTTACTAACATTTATCAAATTCGCCAGTTACATCAAAATTATTAAAACATTAAGTCAAGCGCAATACTCATTCGAAAAGATTAACAAAAACAAACACTTAAAATAGACAAACAAACATCAAAAACTAATCGAGATTTAATGATGATTGAAGAAGAAATTGAATAATATATTGATACTTACCCGGGATCGTTGGGTACCTCTGCGGGTGAACCGCCGGCGACGATCTCCTGGCTCTGGGACTCCATGTGACTGAGCTCCGTTGTTGTCAGAACAGTAACTTTGGGGTTTTCGAAGCACGTGGGGCTTCGTTGATTCAAAACTACTAGACTAAACTAAAGGTAAAGAGCGAGAGAGAGTGGCCGGTACTCTGGACGTTGGGGTCGCCGGGGGCGCAGCGACTCTAACACGTTGTCACGGTGGTGGCACGATACTGACTGAACTGGCGGACTGCGCCGAGGCGGCCGATGGGCGAGGAGGCAGCGGCGTCGGAGAGGCGGTGGCGGCGACGACGACGGCAAACGTCGGGCGGCGTCGGCAGCGGGGATGCGCGCGTCGACGGCGCGGGACCCGGATTGGGCGCGATCGGGGCGCCGTCAGTGCGTCGGTGACGCAACAACGATCCGACGCCCCGCATCCGGACCGATTATTATTATTATTATCAACCATCGCGTCGCGGCGCCACGCACCTCTTCACTTTATTGTTATGATTTTTTTTTTGTACACACACTCTTTCTGTTTGCTCTTAATCAATCTAAATTTTTTGAACACGTTTAATTTCACAACATTATGACATATTAAATTAAAAGTTTTAAAAATTTTTACAAACTTTTAAAATCACTTATAAAACTGTTTAATCCCCAAATCAAAACTAATAGCACAGCAACACTATTTCTTTGTGACATATCTTAGAGAAACTTTCAACAGATATTACATTTATTCCTATGATTTTTATGACCAGGCAAACATAAGTAACCAAAAATCTTATTAACCTTTTATGGAGTAAGTTTCAGATAACTTTTTCTGTCAAGCGCGACTTGAATTCTCCAAAGATTGCGAAGATGGAAAACTTCGAAGAAATTAAGGTCACATAATCAATATAAAAGGAAAATAATGTTTCTACATTCAATAGAAAAGTCTAAATAAGCATTTAGTCATTTCAAAAACTTTTATGGCAAGGCACTTAGACTATATTTTCAATTGGACTCAAGTTCAACCAGAAAAATTGGTATTAATGTTGACTATGTTGGCATGGAAAAGACTTTGGTTGCATTTTTTATACGCGTAGATAATTTATCTTCTGATTCTTGTTTGCATAGTGGATGTGGTACATCAACTTGTTGTTTTACTAGATGGAGCTTTGAGTGATTTTTAGCCGAACTTGCCAGTATGGTCCAAATTCCGGAGATGGTCTAATATTTCTGTTTTCTAGTTCATAGTCTTATTGTTAGTTAACGGAATTAACTTTAATTGATTGTCTAAATAAATCACTTCAGATTTATATTACCATATTCATCATGACAAAGAAGATTTATAGATGCTGCTTTCGTCAAAAATTCTCCACAAACAATTCTCATCTACAACATTTTCTTCCAGGACTTTTAGTTTCCATAAAACTTTCCATCCAAAAACAGAAATCTATTATTTTTCGGATTTGATGGTTTATAACTTAACATGCAAAATAGTTGGAAAGAAATCATTTATGGACTATATTTTTGTAACTTATTATAAGAGATTTTATACCTACCTACCAGGTTGGCAATTGTTGAGTGATAATCGTTTACGGATAATGTTTTGTTGATTCGATTTGTCAACACTTTTCGAAACAACTGGAACACTTTTCGTTTCGAGTACTTCTATCATCAAAATACAGGACACGAAGCAAGATCTTGAACCTTTTATATCTACAGGGTGATTCTCAACCTACACGCACAAACTTGGATATTTATTACTCATGACAAATAATGACTAATAGGTGAAAAAAATTGTAGTAAAAGATTTTTAGTTTCTTAGATATCCGATATATGCGGCAACATCTAGATTATATGTTTCCCGGAAGATGGATAGGTCGAGGTGGTCTAATGGCCTGGCCACTTCAATCGCCCGACCATAATACTCCAGATTTTTATTTTTGGTATCAGTTAAAAATCATAGTGTACATGCATAGTAGCAAGAATTGTTTAGAAATGCTTAGACAATGGTAGCTGCCTGGTTTGTGCCGCTGTAGTGGGAGATCATGGATTCGAGATTCTTGATTTAAAAGTAACTTTGAATCTAGAAAAGTAAAAAACTCTTGATAGATTTTTTTCTCCTATTAATCATTACTTGTCATGAGGAATAAATACTCAAGTTTATGCGTATAGATTGAGAATTAGCCTGTATAACGAGACCAACATGGATTTCAGTGATTGCCAGTTCGATTTATCAGCTCCTGGTATGTAAAGACGGCTCTAACAAAATCTGTCTCCTTAAAACTTTAATATTTATGATGTCAATATATTAGTTTGTGACTTTAACGATCATTTCAAAAACTTTTCCAATAACGAATTTACTCTAATACTCAAGAGCAATTGCACCACTCCTTATATTTCGTTTTACTCCAAGAAGATGAATGACTATGTTTTGGGAACTCCTATAATGTGATTGAATTTTACTCCAAATTGGATTCTGTAATCTGATTCCTCCTCATTACGTGACAGATCATCGGCATCACGTCCACTTTCTGAACTACCTTGAGAACCTGTTTTATCCTGAGAAGAGACGTCACTTTCTTTTCCCAGTTACTCAGTTCCTGCAATCCTCAAATTTGGTGATTCCGACATAATCAAATACTTTGATGGACTGTTCTCCACCACTAGGGGAGTTGTAATCTAGTCGCAGATTTGCATCGTCTAGAAACAATTCAAATGCCATGAAAACACCATCATTTTGACACGCTGATCTACAACTGTGATGTATTATCACTGAAGCGCAGGTTTTCCTGGGACAAATCACTGTTGACGAATTAAAGTACAACTACACGGTGAGTTCTTTAAACCTTAAGTATTTAAGTAGAAGAGCGAGACATTATGTCCAACTTCTCAAAGGTGGAGTTGATTCCCAGGTTGAGTACAACGCAAGAACAAAAGAGAAGGGAGTTATTGGAACACGAGGAATTTGAAGACAGAAAATAATTACGATTTTTGTGGCGTGGCTAAGTATCGAGGTTCACGCAAGCGATCTTCCCACCCTAGACACATAAGAGACTTGACGATTTAGCGAATTTGGCAGATGCAGTGAGCAATGCCAACGTTTGAAGGTGTAGAGAAAAGATCACAAACTGACCCAACCCAACGCCTTTTCGTAGCCGATCTGATAACTATGACAACTGATGAAAATCGGTGAGAATTTGTATGTGTTCTTACGTCGATTTCCTATATCATTGCAGATTGCTGGTAAACATACGCAAATATCACACGATATCATAATCAAATCACTGGAAAAAGTACCACATATACACATCTCTAAGATCACCGGTTATTGGAAGATCTCGACTTATAATAAGTTACAAGAATTTGCATTGTTTAATGTATGAGAAGATAAAAAGGGACACGGTCGAGTTTTGTTTTAATATTAAATTTAAAACGAACTACCATAAAGTTTAATATTACAACACAGAATTATTTTATCAATGCTAACGATGTCGGAAAATTGTTATCAGAAAGGTTGGGATTGGTTTTTATGCGTTCTTGGAAGCACTTAATTGTAGAAATGTGATTGGTTCTATGTGATTTGCTTTTTTGACATGATATAACTTCTCAACAAGGTAGAAATTTTAGGATTAGCTTGTGTGAGATAACAAACATTGTTGTATGGGCGGAGATTCTCAAAAATACGGTATTTCCTTAGCTTCTTAGTTAAGTATAAACTTTGTATTAGGTATCCAAGAATGACAGAAAGTGAATTCGCAATTGGGATCGATTTCCCTGCTATTGCATAAATCGCACATGCAGAATTTTTCACAATCCATGCACCACTAGAGAACTCACTCTCCAATTAAGTTACAGACCAAATTGTCCCTTGGCCTTCAGAAATCCTTACAGGTTGCGTAACGGGTGTCCTTTTCCGACGTGTACTACTACTATTAACAATACCAGAGATGTCCGACTGGTGCTGGGCACGACGCTTAACGTCCCCTCCGAAGAACAGATAGCGGTTAATGTACGATGTTCTGCGTGAAGTGGATGTTTTTGCCGCTTCGACCTTAGAATCTGAGCAATTTAAGCATCTGTGGCTTGTTTTTAAATGCTTGAGTGGTACGGATTGATACTAAATCATTGTTACGAGTCTTTGGAAAAACACGGATAAAGTTCCTGAAATTTAGCACATCAAGCGGCGGTCTGAAATCTTGACACGGAATCATCCACGCCATTTGGAAAGCTCCAGTTACCCGTAAACAACTAATTATAGTGAAATCAAAAAGGAAATTCCCAAATCCACTAGATTAAATTGACATCCGGGCCATTCGAGAAGGAGTTACAAACTTTGCTTCATACGTGAACATTCGGACAACTGATGAACATCGGTGCGAATTTGTATATGCTCTCGCGTCGACTTCCTATCAGTGTTGCCGTTTCGGTACAATTGTACTGAATTCAGTACGATTTCATAGATAAACTACGTGAAAGTAGCAATCCAGTACAAAATTTTGTAATCGGTACAATTGTACTAAAATCAGTAACCACTTTTTTTGAATTTACTTTCTTTGACCGTTTCAGCCGTGGAAACTTTATTGCTGGCAAAACAATTAATCAAAAAACCAGTGAGCCCAGTGATAAAGTAATACGTTTTACAAGTTTTGTTGTACCTAAAAAAAAGGTCTCCTACTTTCTCTCTCAATTCAGTACATTTTTTTCATTTTCAGTACGAATTTTGGTACATTTATTTTCTTGATGGCGATGATTCTATGATGGCAGATTGCTAATACTCAAACGTCATCCGGTGACGCAACTTCACGACTTTCTCCCGAATTTCTAATCAAATCGATGGGTACAACACCACATCATCACAACTTTAAGACCTCCGTTTGCTGGAAGATTTCAACTTATAATAATTTGCAAGAATTTGTACTATTTAATGTATTAAGAGATAAAATAGGACACTGTTGAGTTTATTTTAATATTCAATTTAAAACGAAGTTCCAAAAAGTTTAATAGTGCAATATAGAAATGGCACAAAATTGTTCTGAGAAAGATTGGAATTTCTTAATTGGGTTGAAGTACTTGCAGAAGTATTGGATTTACGTTATTTACTTTTTTAAGACGTAAAAAAACATTCGAGAAGCAACTTTATTGGTAAATCCAGCATCAAATATTCCACTCAGAATCTCAAGCAACTCTTTGGACTGATTGCCTGATTATTGATATATCCAAAGTGAAACTTTCATAATATTTACCAAACACAATCATTTTGAATAGGACAAGTTCGATTCACCTCGAGCGCAATCAGAAGATGAATGAGGAGATTATGAGAGTCTATGATGTGATATCTCCACACCCAATGCTAGAGCTTTTGCTCACAACCGAATTCAGTGCGATAACTTTTAATACCGTTTATCAACTATCCACATGGATATGAATACAACGCTTAAACTCGTAACTCAACGTTACAGGACGTCCAAAACAGCAGGAAATGGATACGGAAATGCCTTCAGCTTTAGATGATAACGCTGAGGTATGATGTGTAAAATAACACCTCGTTGACCTAGTTGGACCAATACCAAAAGACTATAGTACTTAGATTGGGATTTTCATATTGATTTCAATTTCTTTCAAAAATCGTTTTATCATACTACAATTATTAAAATTTGTTTTGTATAAATATAACACAAACGTTTATTATAACTGTTTTTTATTTAATAATTTAATAAAATTAGTACCACATAAAATCCGTCTTAAACATTGTGAAACATCAAAAATGAAGTCTAAAATTAAGTCTAATTCCGCCGCAATACAGAATATTTAAGTTATCGTCGGAAAATTTCGAATGATATTTCGAATTAAACAATTAAAGGAAATTCGAGATCTTATTAATAAGATTTTCAGACAGATTTTTCTAATCAATACTAATACTAAAACATTCTATGATATAACACTCTACATTCTATGAATCAGTTATGTTAGTATTACATTTTCTATAAGTGTATAATATTGACTAGAAGCTTCAGATATGTTAAAATTGATAGCCTCAGAACATGTATAAGTACTAAAAACAATTTATTAAAATTAATATAAATAAATTAAAAACTAAAATGATGGTTAAGCATATTATTTAATTTAGATGCCAACTTTTTAATATACTACGTATCAATTCTCATTTTTTTTGGGGTGTATAAAAAATATTTCCTATCTTTGGATAAATTTCATTCTTTGGATTAGTAAATTGGTCTTTGGACAGGTTTTCGTTATTAAAAATACTGGGATTAAAACAACAATCCTAACAATAAAAAAATAGCCATAAAATCATTTAAAAATCTTGTGAATTATCACTAGACATATGACTAGCTAAAAGTGTAGACAAACAACTATCATTTTGATGGTTGTCCCTTAAAACAATCAATCCATTATTGCTCTGTCCTTCAGATGTGGCAATAGTCATCAGCAAGTTAGGCGACAGTAAACTACTGGAGCTTGGAATTGGACTCTGGGTTAATTGACCAGACATCAAGGAATTATTCGAACTCGGACTAATTTCAGGAATATTAACAAAATTGTTTTCGGAGTGTTTAGAACTGGTCGTACTGGCAGATTGGGATTCGTGTAAAGTGTCGGATGGAGTTGAAGGAGCGGAATCGAGAGGCGATGTAATAGACTGAACTTGATGGAAATCAAAGAGATCAACCGACGGTATTTTTTTATCAGTTCTCATTCGTTCTATGTACAATTTTATTTTATTCAATAAAAACGGCGGTGCCTCAAACCCTTTTAATTCATGTAATCTTAAATTGGGATTATTTTTATACTCATCACACATAGCTAATTCGCGTACATCATCAAAAATCATTATATACGCCTTACCGCCACTTGCTGGCATTAAATATTTTGAAGTTAACCATTCTCTATCTTCTTGATCACCTGCATAACGAATTAATTCTGGATGTCTAACGTATAATCGTCCCCTCGTTTGACTGAATCCTAGAACTTTATTAGCTCTAGCGCCCATTATAAATAATGTTCGTTGATTTAAACGTTCCGAGCTCCATTTTGGAGCTTCTCGTTTTATAGGAAGTTTTGCAATTTCTTCCCAGTCTTTAGCCTTATGTCTTTTTTGACTTGAAATTGTTGTTGATTCTGAATCAGTGTCTGATTCCTTTCGCTTTCTATCCACCAAAGAAAAACGTGATTCAAAGTACCCCCCTGGATCTGAGTCACTGTATTCATGGGGAGAACTATCCCTCGATACATTTGAAGCTTTATACATTGTTTTAGCATCTTCTAACATTTTTCTACACATTAATTTGACGTGTTCTTCATTTACACTGTCTCTACCTTGGTTTTGTCTTATATTATTTACAGCTGGTTGAAAAAATTTCTAAAACATTTTTCAATATTATTTATACGAATAAAGAAAAATTGTTATGAACTTACATCTAAATATTTTTTGATAATACAATCAATATCTTTATTAACAGCATTTTGAATATTCTTTCTTAGGATATCCAAAGACTTAATCGGATTTGTGATACACCCATGATTGATGTAACTCTTCGGATCATGCTTTATACCATTTCTTGTACCAATTTGGGAAGCAGCCAAGTTTATGATGGTCACTTGACGCATGTTAAACGTATTTTTCTATTAACAATAATCACTTTAGCTTAGTTATTTTTTTATGGATTTAATTTATTTAATTACTTACCCAACCAACCATGTTTTGTTGTTCTTCAATTTGGCCTGGCACAGCAGGAGGTATCATTTTTCAAAACCCAACACCCCAACAGATTAAAGATCTTCTTTGTTCGTTGTTTAAACCGGACAAATTATTTCTTTATCAACTTGAATTCTAAACAAAAATATCGTTTGTGATTTTAAAGGTGGTAAGAGGAATAGTAAATAAAAGGATTTGTTTTGTATGGAATAATATAAAAGAAGGAATCGACAAAGTTTAATTTAGTAAGTGTCAAAAATGACAGTTAATTGTAAATGCAAGGTTGGTTGTCTAGATTAGGATGAAGTTAGTTGTTTATCTTTTTAATAGTAATTTTTAATATATCATTTAAATATGTGATATAATTTAATAGATATTAAAGTTTTTAAGTAGTATTAATAATAAATTAGTTTATATATATTTAGTAATGTTAAAAAAAAAATTGATTGTAATTTGGGTTGCCTACTTCGCGATAATTAAATGTAATATAACAATTCTTTAATTATTTTATTAGAATAAAAATGATATGATAAATCTTTTAGTACTCCACTTTTGTAAGGTTTAATATCTTTGAATGGCGCTTACAAGATAAAAAACCATTACCTTTTCAATAAAGCCTTACCGTGCTGTTGGGAGTGGACATTTACAATCTATTTATGGACTTTAAGCTAAAAAAATGGAAGTGGGGAGAGCAGCAATGGAAGAATTGGGAAAACAAAGGCAAAGGCATAGGGATTCAAAATGGTATGATAATGAGTGCGAATATGAAGAGAATATGAAACTACAAGAACTGGAATAGAGAGGTCTTATATAGAGGTCAACCAGAATAGAAGGAATTTTAAGCCTACGCTGACGATGGTGAGAAAGAGAGAAGGAGAGATTATGAGTGGACAAGCACAAATATTAGAAAGATGGGCCGAAAATTTTGAAGAGCAGCAATGAACACTTGGAAGACATGGAAGACGCGGAAGATGAAAGTTTCTCTCCTTCTTTATGACTGCCCCCACGGAAGAAGAAGTACTCAAAGCAGTGAATAGGTTGAAGTACCATAATCCGTCTGAACTTCTGAAACATGGGATAAAGAAATTGAAGGATCATATATGTAGGCTGGTGGATCTAATCTGGAAACACTTAAAACTCTCAAAAAGACTGGAACATAGGCATAATCGTGCCTAGACACAACAAGCGAGACCAAACAGTATGTAACAACTACAGGGGAAATGTGGTATATAAAGTGTTAGCCATACTTTATGACCGACTATCAACATACTGTGAAGAGATTGTAGGCAAGTACCAAAGTGGCTTTCGTAAACGAAAATCAACCGTCGACCAAATCTTCCTTCTAAGGCAGCTCCAAGAAAAGAAAAGACCTACGAATACGGGATGGATACCCACCACTTATTTATAGATTTTAAAAGTGCCTAAAATAGTGTAGATAGAAGGTTACTATATAACGCAATGAAAGACTTCTGAGATAAATTTAATAAAATTAGTAAAAGCAACGCTCTCACAAATTGAGTGTAAAATGAAAGACCAAAATAACTTATCAAGATCCTTTCAGACAGGTGTGGGGTTACGCAAAGAGGAGAGCCTATCATGTCTACTGTTTAACATCGCTCTGGAGAAGGCTGTAAGAGAATCGGGTATAGCAAATGGAGGAACCGGTATTAATAGAAGCGTATAGATACTAGCATACGCCGATGACATAGATATAATAGCTAGAACAAAAAGAGACCTCATAGAAGCCTTCAAGCATTGGAACGGGCAGCAGGGAGACAAGAGCTACAAAATATATGAAGGTTACTAATAACGCTCAGCTAATTGAACTTCTTCTCGGATTTTGATTTGTAGTTCATTCAAAGTATTTGGTCTAGTCTAGTGGTATAAACTTTACTCTTCAGATATCTCCAAAGGAAGAAGTCCAGCAGAGTTAAATCAGGTGATCTTGCAGGCCATTCAATTGGCCCTCTTCTCCCAACCCATTGATTGGGAAATAATTGATTTAAATATGCACGAACAGGAACCGCATAGTGTGGCGGCGCGCCATCTTGTTGGAAGAACAATTGCCGTTGAAATCGACTTGGGTCAACATTATCGGGAAATCTGGCCGTTATGGAAGGAATGAGATCTGTTTGTAGAAAACCTAAATATCTCTCTCCAGTTAAGGTTTCCTCAAAAAAGTAAGCGCCCAGGATAGCATCCTGTACTATTCCGCACCACACATTAATCTTTTGCGGATATTGGGTATGCGATTCTCTTGCCCAATGTGGATCTTGAGTAGCTCAATACCGACAATTTTGCCTGTTAACTTGCCCACTCAATGTAAATGTTGCCTCATCGGAAAAAATTATGTTTTTAACGAAATCTTCGTCGTCGGTGCACAATTGATGCAACTGCTCACAAAATTGCGACCTTCTATCAAAATCACCTTCATTGAGCTCATGAATTTAGGTTTACCTTATAGGGAATATTTTGCGGTTTTTTAATATTTTGTGAACCGTTGTTTTACTAATGGCCAGATTTGACTCAATATCCCTTACCGTAATATGAGGGTTTTCTTGCACAGCCATAACAACGTTATATTAAACCTCATCTGAAACATTTGGTCGGCCAGACTTCGAGAGATCCCGTACATGCCCATGATTTTTAAATTTAGTGGCAATGCGGCTTACTGTACTTTGGCTTATGGGTTCATGGTCAGGATATGTTGCATTAAAGAGCTTAATACTTTTTTTTGAGTTCGAGTTCGATCCCCAATTCCAATGAAAAAAAATGTACCATTTTAATAAATTAACAACGAAAACAAATAAAAGTAAACAATAAACAAAAATTAACTCAAAAGTGATGTAAGAATAGTTTAAATCAGTGCTATAAGAAATAACAAGCTTACACTTATAAAACTTAGAGAATTGCTTAAAATGACTGGTTACCATAGTAACACATGGCTACTGCTATTTTTTCCATGTCAAGCAAATTTGAAATAATTAAACTTTAAAGTAATTTTTCTCGAAAATTTTCTAATGTAACGAATATTAATATTGACTGTACTAGATTCAGAAAAACATCTTCTTTCATATACCGCAATAAAAATGGGGGATTGGCATTTGAAAAATATATCGATGACGTCATAACTCAGTTAAAAATCAGTTAAAAAAAGTTGCAAAAAATTTAAATTTTTAGACCCCTCTCAAGGATTTTTCCATAAACCGTTCATAATGATTTTATCGCCTATATCCGTTACTTTACGGACAGACTGTATATAGGGGTATTCAGGACGAACCGAATATTGTACAAACCATCAAAATCAATAGGTTAAGAGCTCGGGCATCTAGAAAGGATGAATAACGGGGAACCGCCAAAGCAAATGTTCCGCCAAGCAGTTTTTGGACCCTGCAAGAGAGGCAGGCCTAGAAGCAGATATAAAGACCAGGTAGAAGAAAGTTTTAAAATGCTGGAAGTTAGAAACTGGAAAGACTAGGCACGAGATAGAAGAAAGTGCAAGTTGATCTTAGAACGACCCACTAGGAGGTGTGGTGATGATGGGGAGAAGCTGATAAATGATGATTAAGCTGATTAAGTAATCGTGATTACTTAAAAAAATCTAATGATCTAAATAAATAAAGAAGTAGATAATATAGGAAAATCAAACTAATTAATTTTAACATTAAATTTATCTTATCTTTAAAGCTACTTATTTAAGAAAAAGATACCAATCAAAAACATCTTTGTAGTAAGAATTAATACAGAGTATTAAAAAAGTAAGCTTTTTTATAAAAAACGGTTTATTTTATATTTTTTTAATTGTATATTGGACCTTGTTTATAAAAAAAAGTCTCCCATTAAACCTTACCCAAATAAAAACATTACAAAAAATAGGTGATAATTTCAATTGAAAATGTGTATACAAGGATTCCTTTTATAAAGATTTGTATAAAAACAAATTTCAACAGTTCCATGAGCGGCTTCTGCAATGTGTAATGTAACAATTCTTTAATTATTTTATTAGAAAAAAAATGATATGATAAATCTTTTAGTACTCCACTTTTGTAAGGTTTAATATCTTCGAATGACGCTTACAAGATAAAAAACGACTACCTTATTTCTTTTTGTCTTCCCTGATTCTGATGTAGACCCTGAATTCAATAAAACCTTACCGTGCTGTTGGGAGTGAACATTTACTACAATCTATTGATGGACTTTAAGCTAAAAAATTGAAGTGGGGAGAGCTGCAATGGAAGAAATGGGAATACAAAGGCAAAGGCATAGGGATTCAGAATGGTATGATGATGAGTGCCTGTAGGCTAAACAAAGGAAGAATCATGCATATATGAGACTGCAGGGTAGAAGAACCAGACAAATACAAGAACATTACAAGCAACTGAGACGGGAGGAAAAATTATTACTAATAAAACGAAAAAAGAAAATATATGAAACACCAACTACAAGAACTGGAATAGCAATCTGTGCAATGTTATCATGAGAAATTGCTTAAGATCACTTTTGATAATATGCAACCTCGGGATCAATACTATACAGGGGGTGTTCATAAAGGTTATTTCCTTAAAACTTTTTGATTATGTCGTAAATCCTTTATTTTTTCAACTGATTCTCAAAGCCTGCTTTGAAAGAAAGATACACCGCCACATATATAGGGGTATTCAGGACGAACCGAATATTGTACAAACCATCAAAACTAATAGGTTAAGGTGGCTCGGCCATCTAGAAAGGATGGATGACGGGGAACCGCCAAAGCAAATGTTCCGCCAAGCAGTTTTTGGACCTTGCAAGAAAGGCAGGCCTAGAAGCAGATATAAAGACCAGGTAGAAGAATGTCTAAAAATGCTGGAAGTTAGAAACTGGAAGGACTAGGCACGAGATTGAAGAGAATGGTATTTGATCCTAGAACAGGCCAAGACCCACCAATGGTGATGATCGGGAGAAGCTGATATAAGATGATTAAGCTGATGAAATAAATATGATTACTTAAAAAATCTAATGATCTAAACAAATAAAGAAGTAGATAATATAGGAAAATAAAATTAATTAATTTTAACATTGATTTATCTTATCTTTAAAGCTATTTAAGAAACAGATACCAATCAAAAACATCTTTGTAGTGAGACAGATGATTAAGAATTAATACAGAGGATTAAAAAAGTAAGCTTTTTTACAAAAAACGGTTTATTTTATATTTTTTAATTGTACATTGGACCTTGTTCATAAAAAAAAAGTCTCCCATTAAACCTTATCTAAATAAAAACATTTAAAAAAAATAGGTGATAATTTCAATTGAAAATGTGTATACAAGAATTCCCTTTATAAAGAATTGTATAAAAAAAATGTTTAAAGACTAGAAGACAATAATTTTTTCTTTAAATTCTCAGCGACTTTATCAATGAACTCAAACGTTTCCAAATAATCGCTTCTCTTTACATTGTTCATACCCTTAATACAAATAGCCAGATCTTTAGTCATGTACCCAGCTTCAATAGTTTCAATACAAACTTCCTCCAATGTGTTGGCAAATTTAGTTAAGGCGGTATTATTATCTAGTTTAGCACGATGTAATAATCCTCTGGTCCAAGCGAAAATCGAAGCGACCGAATTTGTTGACGTTTCTTGTCCCTTTTGGTGTAAACGATAGTGTCTTGTAACAGTTCCATGAGCGGCTTCTGCTTCGACAGTTTTACCATCCGGACAAACTAACACAGATGTCATCAGACCTAAAGATCCATATCCCTGAGCTACAGAATCTGATTGAACATCACCATCATAATTTTTACACGCCCAAACAAATCCGCCCTCTGATTTCATTGCATAAGCAACCATATCGTCTATTAAACGATGTTCGTACCACACTTTTTTGGCTTCAAATTCTTTTTTGTACTGTTTATCATAAATCTCTTGGAAAATATCCTTGAAACGGCCATCATATTTCTTTAAAATGGTATTCTTAGTACTTAAATAAAGAGGATATCCTCTATTTAAGGCATAATTAAATGAGGAATGAGCAAAATCGATTATAGAGGCGTCTGTGTTGTACATAGCTAAAGCAACTCCAGGACCTTTATAATCGTGAACGACATGTTTAATTTGTTCACCACCGGCACCTGAAAATACAATTTCTAATTTACCCGGACCAGGTACAACAAAATCAGTTGCTTTATATTGATCGGCATGAGCATGACGACCAATAATAATGGGTTCATTCCAGCAAGTTACTAAACGAGGGATATTTTTACAAATAATAGCTTCCCTAAAAACAGTTCCACCCAAAATATTTCTTATTGTTCCATTTGGCGATTTCCACATTTGTTTTAAGTTGAATTCTTCAACTCTTTTCTCATCGGGGGTAATTGTAGCACATTTAATACCAACATTGTACTTTTTAATAGCTTCGGCGCAATCAATTGTAACTTGATCTTCAGTTTTATCTCGGTGTTCGATTCCAAGATCGTAAACGTGAAGTTCAATATCGAGGAAAGGAAGAATTAGTTTGTCTTTGATGGCATCCCAAATGATTCTTGTCATTTCATCCCCAAGGACGTCTACAACTGGTCCTGCCTTGATTTTATTCATCTTGGATGATTCTAAAATTTTTAACGATTTATTTGAATTGATTTTTGAATGAAAATGATGTAATAAATAAGGAAATAACTTGGAAAATACAACTATTTTTGTACCTGATTTAATAACTACGTCTTATCACTTTTACACACTAAAAGGTAATAATTACGGGAATGACTTTGCTGTATTATAGTGAGAGAGTTACGTCGACGTGTCTTGTTTGAATTAAATTACAAAAAGGGGCAAAGGTCGTCGATTGTATACGGTAACGAAATGGTCAATCACGCTTTTATTATTTTGAGGTATTTCTTGTTTAAATAGTATGAAATTTACCTAGTTTTCGATGAAGAAATACGAAGCCGGTTGTTGCAAGGATTACAAATATATATGATGAGGCAATATCAATACTGTTTTTTCGAAATTATCTGTGACGTTTTCGATAATTCGATTTGACGTTTGACGGCTCAACGTTGACCTTGTATTTTAAGGCTTAGACTACACGTTGCGATAATATCCACACGTAACATGATTTAGTCCCAATTTAATTATCGATTTTAAGATAACGTTAATGAATTATTGAACTGTTTTGATTGTAGGAATGATAATTCGGACTTAATGTAAATTTAATTCTAATTAGTTCGGATTAATGATAAATTTGCTTGTGTGTGCCTTGCCATATTATCAAAAAGTTGTTTTTCTAAAATGTTACAATCGCATTTTGATTTTACGATTTTTTTCTTAAGCAATAATAAGGAAAATTACTTGTATTTGTTTTTAACATAATCTTTCGTAAACTTCGATGTTTTTAATAAAACATTAGATACATATTTTTTAATTTCTTTTTATTTAATTTTAATTAATGCTTTACAAGAAACATAAAACTAACTTGATATAAATGCTACTTTCTTTCAAATCTTATTAGAATAAAAAATTATTATAATGATCTTTGTTTCCACTTACAACGTCCCATTGATGTGTTCTTCAAACCATAATGCTCCATTGATTAAATTATCCACTTCATTGGTAACATTACCCAAAGGATGGTTATCATCATACAAATTCATTCTAGAATGAGCAATAAACAAATTAGATAAAACATAATTGATAATAAAAATATCACAACTTCAAAGTGGACAAAGTTTAAATTGAGGAGATATAAAGTATGTTGTGGGGAACATTTTATATAATTTTTGCATATGTCAGAAAATAAAGATTAAATTTTATGTTAATATACACTTAAATCAACAAAAAAATTAATAAAAACAATGAAATCTACGAAAGCACTACCTGGTGAAATCCATTACTACTTTTACAACAAAACCCCCAATCAAGAAAACAATTTCTTGTGTTATAGAAACTAAATCATTCTTGTCTGAGGTAAACCCCAATTTAATGTATCATACGTCAAATACATATAACTAAGAAATAGCGGAAGCAAAAGTTTGAAAGATATTCTGGGCTTGAAATCTTATCGAAAAGTGGCTTTAAAAGTATTAATTCGTGGTGTTAAAGTCAACATAGAAGGCAGCAATTAATGAGGATGTTTTCTACGTTGTGATATCTGTTTCAGTGGTTGATATTGCTTCATAAAGCGCACATTTGGGCTTCTCTTCCTCAACACCACCAATGGACTATGTAAACACTGCTTTTACCTCTTGGATGAAACTTAATACAACATCGAAAATGGAATTAAAATCCGTTGAGTTTTATTACTTAGAAAGGGATATTCGCCGTTTATTGAAATCCTGTGTTGTGTCAATTCCATGCAGCCAAATTTTGCTTTCTAAGATATTACAAGATATTTCGATAAAATTCTCTTTTCTACTGAAGTAATTTCCTAATAGCCTAATAGATCTTGAATCTTGGCAAACTTATCGAAATTTTCATTTTTAAAGTTCTCCTCAAACATGGTTTTTATACAATTCAAGGCATCAAAAAAATATTCTGTATCCTTACAAGTCATGTAGAGTTTCCAGTGATCTTTTTTAAATTAACTATTATAGATCTTATACCTAAGTTATTACGCTCTTCACGCACACTTAGTTGCTTAATGAGAGTATTGTAGTGTACAAACACTTGTTCACTGTACCAAGCTGAATTAGTGGATCACGCTTTTATGGTTTGAGGTGTAATGTCATGTTGAATGTTCTCATTAAAAACGTAGAAAGGCTCGTCAATGATGGCTTAGTTTTGAAAACGCCGAAGAATGCTACATTAAGGTACTCCGGGTGGCACGGAAATTGTGGTAATGCAAGAGAGAAGGACAGAGATAAGAGTAGGTACAACCCAAGGACAGTAGAATCTAACAGGACTGCTACATCCATTGTATTTTTGTAGCCCACTACAAGTTGGTTAGTCGCACTCTACGTCACACTATTTGCCACGCCCAGTTAACTGTCATTGAGTTCTATACGTTTCCGTGTGTTTTTAGAGGTTATATGATAGACATTTGATTTACTTTTGAAGTTAATATGAATACGTCTACGATATATGATATAACCTCTCAAAATACACAGCAAACGCATGGAACACAATAGCAGCTGACTGGGCGTGGCAAATGGTGTGACGTAGTGTGCGGGCGCGCTGAAACAACAATAGATGTAACAGTCCTGTTAAATTCTACTGTCCTTGGGTACAACCCAAAATATGGGGAGATTCGATGTGTGTAGTGAAAGCCAAATTGTTGATCTGGGATTATTTGGTTATCTTTTATTATAGCATTGACTCTCTTAACATACAGCTTTTAGAAGACCTTTGAGAGCATAGGTAGCAAGTCTATACAAGGTGATCACTTCTATCCTTTTTTTTATTTGTGAATCATAATGATTTGAGCAACTTTCCAGGTGGTAGGGAAATAGTTTATTCTGAGAATCGCATTAAATATAAAATTTATTATTTAGCAACATTTTTCAGATAGTTCTTGTAGAACTTTTCCAGTAATAAGATCAAATCCAGTAAGCTTTTCTATGTCTATGTGTTCTTGTTTCATTTGACCTGTTTTACTTCATTAGTTGTGAACTTGCAGTGAAGCAGTTCCATAGGAAATGGCACATCTAAGGAGCTAGTTATGAAACTTTCATACTCTGTAAATAGCTGAGACAGAAAATGTTTAAATAGGTTTTTTAGATAACTTTGAATACTTTAGTTCTTGTCTTCCCATATTAAGGTTTTCTATTCTTCAGTCCCTCAATTTTTCTTTAACTGATGAAGAAATTACATTTCTGTCTAATGATATTTTATATTCAAGGATTGCATACCAGGCTGCTTACTATATGCAGTTCTAATTGGTTCTAAAGGTTATCTAATTTTTCTCTGAAAGCGTCACAATTGGATTTTTTGTTACATATGGCTAGTTGTTTTCTTTTATTTAGAATCTGTGAATGAACATTTATTATTACCAGCGAGTGGCCTAAAAAGTCTAATGTTAACAACATCACAGATTTTTTTCTATCAGTCTACCAGTATGTTGGTTCGCCACTAGATATTTGCTATAGGTTGTTTGCTTTCACTGCTTTGTTTAACACCCTTCCTCTTGGTGTTGTTAATCTTGATTGGGGTTCAATTGGTTCATTGGGTGTTTAACGTTATAATCGCTTCCTACAAAAAACTTCTTGCTCAATGCATTGAAGAATACTACATACTGTTTTTTATTGTTATGTTTATATAGACACTGTATGACTGACATTGTTATTGGTTTCAGTTCATCTTCAATGATAACATTTGTGGCTTTCAGGCAGTTTTTGGTGAATTTCTTCCCTTTCTGATCTTTATAAAATGAATTTCAGATCACAGTGCTAACGTTTTGTTCATTACGAAATATTATGAGTTCTCTAGAGTGTTGTCGGAGTCCATTGGAGTTCAAGATGGCTATCTTATATTTGGATTGTATTGCCATTACGCTAATTTATTGACGACGGCGGTATGTAGGTTTAACATTGTCCCCATTTGTTCCATGACTAAAGTAAGCATTTCTTCAAGCTTAGCCACGTTATTGATAGGCTTAGGTATATAATGAATTTTCTCCTGAATGAATTTGTCGTAAATGGATGGGTTCGACTTGATGGATATCAATTCTCGTTTCACGTTGTGCGAACTATAATTTGTTTGCAATACTTTGTGAACATCGCATTCTCTACAACTCTACAGTATCCAATTTTTTTTATCCATGTCCTCCTACACATTTTAAGTATTTGAATATTTTGCGGCAGTAGGATTTGGCGTGCCCGTATTCTTGATGCTTATTTGACATCTTTGAGTCAGAGTGTATCTTGAATCACTTCAACGTTGTATTCAGCAACGGGAGGTAGTTTATTTTCCATAGTAAATACACCAACATCATAAACAAGCGTATGATTTATTTATTGTGAAACAGAAAAAAAAAATTTTTTTATGTAACTATTGAGATTTTTTGATATTAGTGGTAATAGAGTTGAAAAAGTGGCGCTTTTGCACTATCATTATTTCTTAAACCTCTGTAAAGTTTATTCTATAACCAATAGTTGATTATGATCATAATATAATTAAAAACTTAAGCATAAAAATATAAATTATTACTTTAAAAATTTAAAATTAATCTTTTTAACTCACTTGACTTTTATTCCATTACTTTTTAACCTATAATAATACTCCAAAGCTTGATGCATAGGAACTCTTAAATCTTTCGAACCAATTTGTAGCAACGTTGGAGCTTTTACTTTATGCGCATGCATAATTGGCGATAATTCTCTCATTCTCAATAAAATCTTATGATCAGGCTCGCCAATTTGATTATAATCATAACCGGCCTCTACATAACACCAATCGGGAATGTCGCTAATAACACTCATTGAAGCAATATCAATAACGGGATTCCGAGCGACGACCGCTTTAAACATATCGGGACGTTGACCGCTGAGGTGGGTTACTAAAAATCCTCCATGAGATCCGCCCATTAAAACGACTTTTTCTTTGTTTAAAAATTGGTGTTTTTCGAGAATTTTTTCTGTGGCGGAAATGCAATCGGCCACATCGCTAATTCCAACTCGGCCCAAAAGGAAGTCGACGGATGTTTGTCCGGTACCGATGGATCCACGGTAGTTTATAAAAAGCATTGCGTAACCTAAAGAAGCGAATAATCCGGCTTCCAAAAAGAAATAATTTGCAAATGCACTATGAGGGCCTCCGTGCGGCCAAACTATGAGAGGATATGAGTTTTCTTGAGCGGATTGTGGACCAAAATATATCGCAGTTGAGTTCTCTACCAAAAAAATAAAATTATATAATGACAAGTTCAGTTTAGATTTACTACTTATGATATCATCTCCTGGTTGAACAACATCCAAATATTCAAAATTATAAGGTTCTAATCCATTAATCACAGTTACATCAGTTAATTCTTCCCAGTTGATTGAAAATTCCTCAGTTTCCGGGATTTTTCCTATAACCAAAATATCTTTTTGCCGTATATTTCTCCATGAAGCTAATACAACATCATCTTGAACATCCAAAATTATTAAACTTCCATCATTTCCTTCTAATTTAGTAATACAGCCAGTATCTATATTAATTACATAAGAATCAATTGTATTTTGTTGATTTGTAGAAAGTAAAACTCTTCTATTTGAAGCCCAACATCTATTTGGAAATCCTTGATTGTATAAACCATAAAAAATACGGTTATTATCGATATCAATTTGATTTGGAACAATGTCAACTACATTATCAATAGCAGACTAAACAAAAAAGTTAAAAACATTAAAATTTAGGGAATTGTAATGGATTTGTAAAACTTACGTCGGAAGTGATGGGAAAATTAGTTTTCATAAGACTCATACATGCCGCATGTGGTCCATTTGCAGATCTTTGTAACCAGATTAATGTTAGTCCGTCTGGTGTTAAACGGGGTTCTTTTATAGACTTATTTTCTAAATTCAATTCAACTGGAAATTAATAAGTTACATATTTAGGATTATAAAATTTCATTAAATATTTATGATGATTTATAAAAAAAATATTAAATTTTTCCCCTATTTCTCTCTATGTTCAGCACGATTACTCTTCAGATGCTAGTGGTCAAAAATTGAATGGCTGGTTTGAAAATCCTGGTGAAATTTGGCAAAAAAAGACTTAAAATTAAAATAACTCGAACACGAAAAAGCTAGGTACCAATAACTTTTATCAAAGTCACCATATTTTTTTGTGTAGAATTAAAAGATGTAATAAAAACTATAGCATTCCATTTAAAATAATGAAGATGTGTTCTACTTCCGGTAGACGGAAGAGGCGAGCATCTTGAAAGAAATTTAGATCAAAAATTTCCTATCATAAGAAAACAAAAATAAAACAGTGGAAAATATTCTCCACTAGAAAATTCTTCAAGGTAATTTTCTCATCGTGCATGGTGGCTCCCTCTGTCAGTCCTGACAAATCTCGGACGGTTCGGGAAATTATTTTCTTAAATTTAAGTTTTAAATGACGATGAAGTGGTTGTGGATGATACATCAACATTAGAATCAAAAGTTAACAGACCCTCATCGAGTTCCACACTCAATCAACTATTAGCCAACTATTTGCTATTGTTAAAAATAATCACTGGCAATCATTTTTCAAACATTTGAAACCATCTTTCAAAATGCCTACACGTTATTTATTATCAAATAAATTATTGGACTCAGAGTATGAAAAAGTTGATGCAGACATTAAAATGAAAATTGGAGAAGCTTTGAGCTTACAGTGTGATGGTTGAAGCAACCAAAGGAACGAATCCATACTTATCTTCATTATTACTACACAAAACTCGGTGTTTTATTAAACTTTGCTAACAATTAATTTATCAACATAGAATATATTGCTGAAAAAATCGATGAAATTTTGAGAAGTTCGTACTGAAAAATTGTTTCAAAAATTCTGAAAAACCGACAATGCCAGTGCAATGGTTAAAGCAAGAAATATACTTCATGAAAAGTACAAAAACATTTCTGTTTATGGATGCATTGCTCATACGCTAAATTTGTTAATTGGAGACATTTCAAAAATGAAAACCATATCTATTATTATGGAAGATGTTAAGGCTGTCATCAAAGAAATTAACAATTCTCACATTTTATTGGTAACTTTCAAAAAATTGCAAACTGAAAGAAATAACACAAGCAGCCAATTCCTTAAAATTACCTCTGAAAACATGATTGATCCCCAATCAATTATTCATAGTTTAAGAAGACTTTTTGATACAAAATATGTATTAAAAACATTACCAGTTTGTGAAACAGTTGAAGATATACTCAGTAAACGAGTTGCAAAGTGGATATTGGATGAGGATATTTTTTGGGTAAATGTTTCAAACTTTTATCACTTAAGAAATCCTATTGTTAAATACATAACTTATCTTGAAGAAAATAAATCAAGGTTAAGCCAAGCTGAATGCTTTTATGAGTTAGAAAGTCATTTTGAAATAGCCCTTACCTCAAGCCCTTTGCGAGAGGAAAGGGAAGTAAAAAACTTTTCAGTTAAGAGAAAGCAAATGGCAATAAATCCTATCCATCTTGCTGCAAATACTTCTAGATCCAAATTTTAATGGAATTCATCTTAATAGAGAAGAACAAATACAAGGAACAGAGTTTATAGACAATAATGGCAGAATTATCAATCAATACTTTATAAATACTTTATCAATCTAAAGAAGGGTTATTTGGAAAAGGACTTGTTTTGGGTCGACATTAAGTAAAGTAGCTGGTAAGATACTAAGTGTGCCTGCGTCAAGTGCAGCAACAGAAAGAAGCTTCAGCACCGAGCTGTATTTGTATTTAAAAGCTTATTCTCAGAAAATTCTCAAAATCGAGAATATTCTATTTTTTTTCTCAAGAATTTTCTATCTCTACTTAAGCGCATAGTTTTAAGGATTAATTGTAGCATATTGAGCATTGTGTGACATAAACCCTTTATATCAGTGTTGATATAAAGTGTATAACAGTGTTATAACAGTGTTGATAATACATAAAAATGATAGACAAAAATGCTTAAAGTAATAATTCTTTACCATAATTTTCTTCAAAATCAATTTGAAAAACGGTACTTAATCTATTTGTACAATAAATAAGGCCCAATTTTCTTGGTTCAGACTTATAAGCAATTCCAACAATAGATTTTCCATTTTCAGTCCAAATTGGCTTTGCTGGACAAACTCCGTCCGGTATTCCTTTGATTACATCGAATTTATCCGACTCAATATCATATTGGACTAAAGTAGACTGCTTTTTATTGACTAATTGTTCGCCCCAATCCTGACGAAATACATATTCTTGACCTTTTATAACTTCATCTTTGGTATTTGATGCATCACCATTGTTTTCAGGTTTATCTGGATTTTTTCGTTTTATAAAGGGCTCAGTTTTAGGTGGTTTTAATTCGGCAACATAAATCACTTTCTTTTCATCAGGGGAAAATTCCAAAGATCCAAATTCACCTAATTATTTCTCAAAATTAGAAGTATAAATTAAATAACACCATTATTAATTAATACCATCAGTGTAAATATCTCCATGAATGTCCAAAGCCTTTAAATCAACACATCTAGATAAATTATCACTAGTCCATATCTCCAAATATTGTTTCCCATCATTTTCTCGTACCACACATTGAAATTTTTCTGATTTTGATGTACTTCTCATTAATCTAAAAAGAATAAATATTTTAATTGTTAAAAAAGTTGTTTAAGATTTACTCGGAGCTTATATCAACTGGTGGAACCTCAGCAATTTTCACAAAATTTTGCAAAATGTGCATTCGTTGAAATTTTGTACTTTTCCCTTTATCCAAGTTTCTTTGAGTCCACACTGATTTAATAATTGTACCATTATTGGAAAGTCTAGCTCCAGCTAATGCAGGTATTTGTGATAATGATCGATATGTTTTAACAATTTTATCCACCTAATAAAATAAATAACAATAAATCAATTTTTTTTGGTGAATTAATGTTTTAAGAACTTACCTTAGTAGAAGACATTTTAACTCTTATCTACACCGAGATAACGCTGAAAGAACAATGATGAGATATTTTATAAATAGCGTTGTTAAATGCTGTTTGTGTTAAAAATAACCAAAATGAGTTTGAATTGGGTTCAATGTTTTGATGGTCCAAATTTGGAATAAGTAAAAAAATTAGGTTATGATTTCGTTGCTCCCTCTATGATATTTATGAGATACTAAATTTTATCAAAAAAAAAAGTGGAGATAAGAAGTTTTTAAGTACAAATAAGTACCGATAAGCCAATTAAGGATGATTTATGTTTGAATTATTAATTTAAACAATAATAAATGAGATTTGTTAAAAAAAGTTTAATAAGAATGTAAAGGTAAACGATGGGATACGTCCTTGAATACGTCTGTCATTTTTTCCTAGGGACTTATGCAAATAAGATATCTGTTGGCAATAATGCCGTTTCGCAAATAGAAAGAAATGTCGTCACCGCGTTCACATGTGTGAAAATTCGCGAATAATAATAAATAATCGATCGTTCGCGGTGTGATAGAGTGTCTTGTGGTTGTCCCACACGCGATAAACGGCCCCGTCGTGCGTTCACCGGGCGGAATCTCGAACGGCACGGCCCGAGCGGCCAACAGTTACACCCCGGGTTCGCGAAGGTCGCTCGTTCCTCGCGGATTTGGGGCTCGTTCGCGTCGATCCCGACGATCCAATAGCAATGATCTTCAAATACGTCGATTTCGGATGAACGATTTCGCTAAACGGTAAGTATTAGGTGGTTTCGAAACTTCTGGCACTAAGCCAATCGTCCACCCACAAACACCTGCTCCTTCCAGCGAATCCTAAAACTTGATCTTTTTTTGGAATCTCCTAAATTCCTTTGGTTAATAATCGAGTTATTTTAAACAATATTTGGGTTTGCTTAAAAAATTATTTAATAAATGAGTCGCAAACGAAAATAATTAAACTGTTGATTTAGTATAATTTAAAATTTGAGGTTATGTTGAAAGTTTTTGAATTTTTATGTCAAAAGTCCGAAAGTCTGACATATGATGTCATGTTTGCATCTCATGGTGTTGTCGCATCTCGTCATCGACCGAAAAAGAAACGAAATCTGTGCAGGGAACGTATTTTAAGATATTCCGCATACTTTTGTATGAAACATCATCATTAACATATTGTTTTGAATGGAATTTCCATTATAAAAAACACCAAAAAATAAAGACAATCTTGTAAGGTTGCAACAAAAAGAATCATTTTGTTATCAATTATTGTAATTAATATGTGCCTCAAATATCTAATTAATTCATCTTCCTTTTATATATAAGACATCCTTCTGTTGTCTTCCTTTTAAGGAAGTTTTAACTGTTACTTTTTATTGTTATTTTATTAATAGTTACATTAAAGGAATTCTTTTCAGTTAACATTTAATACCGGTTTATCGATTACTTTTTCTTCCCTTACATGACTCAGGGCCACTTTTAACATCCTCTTATTTGACAGTTGGTTGTCAAATTTGACAGATAAATTTAATTGTTGCCATGGTTACATCGGATAAACTTGGTAAAATCAATCTTAATTAAATCCTATTTTAATTATTGTTGGAAAATTGCGGAATAAACTTCTACGCGGTATATTAATATTTTGTTAGATATATTTATGTTTATCACACGGAAGTGACGCAATTGTAAACTAACGAAGAGATAAAATAACCGTTGGAAACTCGATGCTAGTATACTAAATTTCTAATTTATCATGCGGTGAAAACCTTAAAGTGTGATTTTTAATACAAGTTTTCTTGCTCGTTTCGTTATAGGTTTATCGTTCGTGTCGAGCATTTCGTCGTCTTCCACGAAAATGGATACGGGAGGCGGCCGGCGAAGAATTGCGCAAAAATCGTCTGCAGAAGATCAAGCTTTGGATCAAATTGCAAAAGAGGTAATGTATCTAAAAACCCAAAAAAAAAATCATGTTGCGAATATTAAAAGATTCTTTAAAGATTTCACCAGGTGGTTAAATCTTTTTACAATCGCGATTCCAGTTCTTCAGGTGGGAATTCCTCCGGTCTATTTGCACGTGGCTTGTTTTCTAAGCTCCGATCGCCTTTCTTAAAAGATTAGAAACGATTCTAAACACGTTCATAGGTCTATAACAGGATCGAAATGTTTTAAACATGTTAAATTGGCGGATTCTTCTTTTTTTTTCTCAATTTCCAGAAAAATAAAGAAAATATTTTTACGTTATAGTAAGTATTAATAAAAATTTGAAACATTCCAATTAATAAAGCTTGGATTCAAAAACATTTTCATTTGATAACTTGCCAGAATTTAGATGGTGTTTATCAAAAATCTTGGCTAGGTCAGGAGGAGGTTTTAAATTGGAAGGGGTCACAAATTGAATTTGGTCTGTTAACAGAGTTGAAATTGATTAAATTTTCTGCACCTTATTATTTATAGAGTTATGTTTAAGAAATGCATTTTTTATATTGCAACGTTAATCGATCCGTCGCGTCGGCGGTCGTCATGACGCCAGCCGTCGCCGGGGCGGAGGCGTTCCCATTGAAGATGAGGTCACGAAGGGTCACCATTACGGTGTAGCCTACTCGGCGCGGATGCCTCGCAAATGCGCATAGCCGGCAAACGAAGCCTCCGAAGCCAGCTGCGCCCTGGGCACGAAGTATTTTCGGCTTACGAACAGCACTGGACGTTGCATCGCGCCCAGAAACACTTTAGATTCTTTACGCGTTCCCATTTAAAAGAACCATAATCCAGAGCAAAGCCCCCTCTTTCTTCACTTGACCGCCCTCAATATAAATCTTCCCATATTGATTTTATCGCATTTTTTATTCAAGTGAGGTATCGTACATTGAGATATAGTAAGAGTGTGATTTAGATTTTGTTTTATTTCGAGATGTTTCATGGTATTACGCGTTTATAAACTTAATTATCGTTGTGACGATAAGAGGAAATGTAAATAGAGAGTGCTAAAGTGAACAGGTGTGCTTTGAACGGTTTGTGTTAGATCGGCGAGATCCGTTAAAATGGTCGCTGGACCTAAGAGTTCTTTAGCCGGTGCTTTTGAAGCGTTTGGGAAGTGTGCAAAAAGTTCGTCTTTGGCTGATTGTCTTCCCGATGTTGATTGTAATGGAATGGAGCATGTGGTTTTTAATTCCGCTGTCTATGCAGCTAAAAAATTTGTAAGTTTAACAATCTCTTTACTGTATAGAGTGTTCTAGATTTTTGTAGCAAAAGTTTAACAGTCGATAGAACTTTTAAAATTAGTAGAAATATCTGTACAAAAACATAAGTTGAATAAAGCTTTGTTTGCAGGATAATTAATTAATTGATTTTCTTAATCATTTTTTAATGCGTAACTTTGAAAATTCACTTTTTTTTTTGTATAAGAAAATGTAGAAAATTTGGTGCAAAAATGGAATGAACTAAAACCAGTCTATTTTCAAACGTACGATAAAACACCCTTTTGTGAGTAATAAGGGTTGAAAGTTGAGGGGAAAAATATATTTTAGGTTACATCTTGAAAAATAATGTTGCTGTTGAGGTTTGCTAAATATAGATACATATAGACATTGATGTGTCATACGTGTACACCCTTCGATTTTAGTGATAAAAATCGAGTACCCATATATTTTAGGAATAATTTAAAGGCTACATAAAAAGTGTAGCGCTGGAAATGGGAATTTCCCAAACGTTCGACTTTCGTGGTTATCGCACTTTCGAATCGATTTAATTTTAATTATTTAAATATCCTTAACCATTTCCCTTACATTCATAAAATCAATCCATGATTTTTATTTCTAATGGATGCCAATAGCGACATTAATCGCCAAACACTTAGTTTGTCGTTACCTTATATCAAAACAGGGTTTTATAAGAGTTTAAGCGAATAACTAGCTTTACGTAAACTGTAACTAGCAGTTAATTGATTAAAGACGTCATTAAGATTATAATAAAGATAAGTTAATTGATCATTAATCAAATAATCATCATAATACGTTTGCGTCATCATATTCAACCTAAGTGGATCTTAAAACACCTAAATATATACTTATAAACGCTTAACCGGAGGTTAATCACCAATTAACTCTCTGTTAGGTACAGCTTAGCAAATCAATCTTGTGTTGTGTAGGTCAAATGTGCAGTAACAAACGCTTGGCGGTACCTTCGGAGCTCACTTCATGTTATATTGAGTCTTTATCATATACCGGGCCTAACAAAAGTATTTACGTATGTATTTCATCATCCCATTCAACATTCCATGTTGGGATTATGGCTTAATTAGCCAAAAGATCTACACGTCGTTCGATAAAGCCGAGAAGCCACAATATGATTAGTAGTTTTAGGTTGATATAAAGTTAATCATTCTCGGCCGCAAGCAACCTCGGCTTAATTAGTCAAAGCAATTTCACCTGATATGTCACTCCTTCTTCCTCGTAACTGACGGGCCAAGATAAATTTGTTACAAAATAGAATCGTTCATTGACAAACAGTGTCTTCTTAATTAAGACGCTGTTCTTTATACCTCGATTAGTGTGACGTTAATTAACTAATTGATTAAAGTCGTAGTTAAGTGTTAACTTAATAATCGTTTTGGAAACAACTCAATCCATCAAAATAAGACTTATTAGTTTATAAGTGGGTGCTAAGCTTTGTGTTAATCAAGCGTAAACACTTATTAGCAAGCTAAGCATCACGTTAACTAAGACACGTTTGTATAAAGCTCTATTAGCGTTACATTCGCTTGAAGCGATTATCACTCGCAATCGTAATTAAGTATTTTTAAAAGCCAAGTTTAACCATCTCTAATTAAATAATGATCTTGGATACAACATTAAAACATCATATTCAATAATCGTTGTATAGCGTCCTGTTCATTTAGACAAGATTCTATAAACGTGAATTAGTGCGTTAACTTTAATTGAGGATTTATCAATCGTAAGAGTCGTTAGCTATTTTTTTTTAACATAATTTAGTCATATGATGACCTTAAAACTTTCTGGGTTATTCTTCTTTCTAGATGCTTTGTAATTTCCTGCTTGTTTCTGATTTTTTCCTCTATATAGCTTTTCTATTAACATCTTACCAGCGTCTTTCTTTCTGATTTTTATTATGTTATTTTTCTCTTTATCTGCTATCTTCCTAAATTCTAACGTTGATTGAGAAATTAAAGTTAATTTTTCTAGTTAGTCTTTGTGTTTTAACTGTTTCTGGTCTTTCTAAATTTGTAACATTATCGCTTCCTGACTGTCTTTTATCACTCTTCACTACTTCTTGATCCTACTTTTCTGCCTGGGCATAGCGAGATTGGCAGCTAAGTCTATATTTTGAAGCTATCAAGCTATTAGGGTGTACAATTTTTTTTGAAGAACAGCCCTAAGTTGTCATAATACTCATTTTTCTTTTGCTCTTACAACTAAAGGTTAGTCATTTGTCTCAGTTTTAATAACTAAACGAAAAATCGTTTTCGTTAATTTCTTATCTACACGTTAATTTTCTTTATCTCTTCCAAAACTCTTTCAGGACGTGACCTGCGAGAACATAGCAAATAAAGTAGATTTTGGCAGAACATAGCGATACTAAAGTTAGCGTCACACTGACGCTACTATTGCGATAGGTGATTAAACGCAACCTGGATTAAAGTTTAACGCACCTATTAAGAAAGCTGTTATCATTCCTGGATAGTGACAATCGTTGTAAGCCACGTATTTTAATTAAACGAGAAAATTTAAAAATTTGCCACTTTTGTGCCATAATTCCATATGAATTTTTATCGATATACACTGATACTCCCAATAACTTCTCGTATGTCTTGATGGACTTGGCTACATGGAAGTAGTGTTATTAAATAATGATTTAGAACAAAACCCTTCATTTTTATTTAAAATACACACAATATGTTCCTTGAAGGTTGGTAAGTTTTAGGCTAAAAACAATGTATGTCAGCAGCAGCTAAATAAGAGAAGTCGATTTCTACTTCCAAGTTGCTGCAACATTTAATCAAGAAGGTATCAGAAAAACTTAAGTACTCAAATACTTAAACGCTGCTTACGCTTAGATCGTTTAATGTAAATGATTGGAAGATATAGTCTAATAATAATAAATCCCACACAACTCATTATATTAACTGATTCTGATACAAGCAAAGGTGAAGAAACTTAGGAGCAAGTACTTATTCTTTAGAAGCGGAACTCTCGGAGGGTTTGAAAATAACAGAACATGACGAGAGGGTGTATTGTGAGGTAGAACTTACATACATCAAGAAGTTGAAACCAGGTACAAACGAGTACAATTACAGGTAGTAAATTAACTAAACATTAAAACTCCAGGTCATAATCTAACCATATTGATGAACTATTTAATAGATGCCATTAGAAAATCATTGAGGATCGGGTGATACAGCAACAGAAAAAGAAAGGAGATACGACATGATTAACACATGCGTGATTAAGAACAAGGTGGTGAACATTTAGGTAGTAAAGATACCTAAATGATAATAAAGATCTTAGTCACGAATAAAGCATAGAAGCATAATTATAATTATCAGTATATTCCACAAAAATAATTAAATATAAACTTTGTCTTAATTTTAGAAGTTCCATCTTGCTACAAAAATTTGAATCACTCTGTATTTTTGAGTATTGAGTACATTAAAAAAAATATTCTTTATCTAATTTTTATTATTTTTAAGCCTATATGTATATAGTTGAAAAGATAAAATTTTTTATAGACAAACTGTAAGCCTCTACAAACCACATGAGCCATATAATTTTTCATGGCTACGGCACACATTTACGTAGAAGTATAGTGTTACCTTTCATTTACATAGCGATGAATATATATATTACCGCTCTTCAGGTATTTTAGCCTCATTCACACGCAATCTCTAAAGTGTTATTTAATTTCTTGCATAACCCACAAATATTTTCTTTTTTTTTTCTGTCTTTGTTTTAATACATTTTTAATTACCTACGCGTAGTGCAACTAAGTTCTCGGTACACAACTGACTGCTTTGGTAACTGTACACATCGTTTTACCAACAGAATCTCGTTAATCTCGTTGTTCGGATAGATAAGATATAGGTAGTTGTTTATATAGAACTACGCCTTCTTTCTCGTCGTTGAACGTTGTTTCAAATGTGTCAAAATAAAAATTAACCAAGATAACTCGCTATCGATTTTTTCGCCCAAAATATAAATCAAACACGTTACATAAATGATTCGAAAGTGAAACGATACGGTGCAGGTTTTTAACGGTGACTTAAAAATTTATATTTTGTTTAGAACACATTGGTGTAAGCTAAATATGGAGAGAAGTTCCAGTACTGATTCATTAGAGGATCTATTGAATACTTTAAGTCCTGATACGGACGAGAATTTTAATATTGAGTATGTAAACGGATTACAAAGGTCAAGGGAACCGACCAAACCACATGTGTTAGAAGAAATTGGAGGAAAACTTGGTAATTTAGAAAAAAAGAATATTGATACGTGCGAGGCAATTAATCCAAATATAATTGGTGATTGTGAAAAGCGTGATAACGTTGATTTCAATGGTGGTTCAAAACAACTTAAAACAAGTCGATCGCAAAGTGTTTGTTCTTTCGTGGAGGACGATGTTATTAATCAATTTTTGGATAAAACCAACGAAAATGTGGGTAAATCCTTGTATTAAATGTACTTTATTTCGTATCTCGTCGATACCCAAAAAAGTGTGACTTCATAAATGTGACTCACGGTTATAACATGTCTATTTTTATTTTCTCTATATTAAAAAAAATCATTTCTAAAAACGAGTTTTAGAAAGAGACCCGTGAGTAAATTTAGGCTGATTGTGCTATTTTTATGTTTATTCACCGGTTTTTGAGGGCGATGCGTACTCTACGTGTCTTACTATTACAATATTCTTCCCCGCGTGGTTCCGACCGCCAGCCACATGTCTTTTAGTGCGTAAATAGCTTCACCTAACCGTTTCCTATAAACGTTCGTTCCTCCTTCCGATTTCTACCATTTGACGACACCGACGCCATGCGGTTCAACAACGATTTGTGTTTCCGTTTAAATTGGACTTTCGATCCATTTAAAGTGGTTCGTAAATAAATTCAATAATTCGTTTTTTTTGATACGGATTAATTCTTGTCATTAATTTATAATAATAATTGCTGTTACCTTTATATTTGTAGGCTGAAGCTCGTATGTTGGCAAAAAGACAAGCTCGTGCGGAAGCCAGAGAATATCGTATGCGAGAACTTGAAAGACAACAAAAAGAACAAGAAGAAAACGCGGATAGACAATTTGATATGCTTACCGAACCCATTGCAAGAGCTGCCAGAACTACAAGTTCGCGGTATATGTCCAGTAGAAGAAGTTCGGAGGATTCACTTGAAGACGCTGGAAGCATTCGCGAATTAAAAGTAAGTACTACAACTGAACGTGTTTAAAAACATTTATACCAAAAAATTTTTGAATCCGTTCCAATGTTACTCAACCGAAACTCGTTTTAGAGGTAGTCAACACTAGTTTTTTATACATCATGCTCTCGAAAGTACTCATTCAACATTTATCTTTACAGCATGAACTCAAAGAAGTTGAAGAAAAATTCCGAAAAGCCATGGTGGCTAATGCGCAGCTTGATAATGATAAAGCTGCGCAAACTTATCAATTAGAACTACTTAAAGACAGGTAAATACAAAAAAAAAATTATGTTAGCACGTTTTTTTAAATTAATTTTCTGTATAGATTAGAAGAATTGGAGGAAGAACATTCGCAATTACGTAGAGAACATAGGGACAAGTGTCGAGAACACGATCAATTAAAACGATTGAACGGAAGATTAAACGACGATTTGGCTGTGACGAAAGCAGAGCTGGAAGAGCGCGATAGATTAATTACCGAAAAAGGTTTAATTATCGTCGGCGAAGAGGAAGTCCAAGTGAACGAACAACCTGTGACTTCTGATGCTGCTACTTGTAACGGTCTTGGTACGCCAAAACGGGCTTTGGTGAGTGTGGAGAATGCACAACTTTTGGAGGCAGCCGGTGAAGGTAGTTTAGGTAAGAACACTTGTAAACTTAACTTTAAATGATTAAAATATCAGTTTTATATACAAGCAATGGTTAAAAAGTTTTTAGATAAAAATTTATATCAATATTATGATGAATATATCAGTTTTTAGGTTATAACAAAGAAAATGATAGAAAAAGGGGGGAATAGAAACGAAAATAGAAGTCTATTATTTATTATCAGTTATTGTAACAGACTTTATTGCTAGCGAAGTGAATCACCCCCTTTTTATAGCAAGAATTTTTACAGAATGATATCAACAATACCGTTCTAACTTTATAACTTATTCCAATCTAATTTTATTGGATAAAAGAAATGATTATCAACTATGATTAACAGAATTTAATCGACATGAAAAATTTATTAATTTCATTCAATTGTTTATACCTTCTAACAATATTTTAATCGACTCAGCAATCTGTATTTCAAAACATCTGGATGCAATTTTATAGAGACAAACTCATTCATATAGATAGATTTTTATTATTAACTTCTTCACAATATTGTGTCTTAGATGCTCCTTGTTTTGAATGAAATTATATATATATTTTGACTCATAAAATTTTAATTTTTTCCAATAATAAAATTTATCATCTTTGGATTATTTCTTATCTCTTAGTTCTTAAACGTTTTTATCTTGCACCTAATTCCTCGATGTAAATTCATAATAATTTATTATATTTTTAGGAAATCCAACAAAATATTTACAAGTAGTTTTGATAGTATTTTTGGAAGGTTGGAATTGAGAGGTTTATTTGATAAAGAGTTAGCAATGCAACCTTAATACTCACTTTTTCTAGTTGGTTTATACATAGACTTGGTTATCTGGGACATTCTACCTAATCTTGTTTTTGTCCAAAGTAACATCACTTCCCTTCTTTATTATGACACCTAGTGATAATGAATTTTTATTCAATTCTGGTACAAACTGTTTTTTTCCAAAATTTCGATTGATTTGGAGCTTTAACTACTTGGCTGTTTTTACAAAGCTAATTTCTGCTCTTGTTTTTTAATTTTTCTCTAGAATCCACAATAAAGTTTTATTTGTCAGCTTTATGACTATTATTATTATCATTACATATTTTTGGTCCTTCTGATGCAATAGCACCAGGAAGAAAATGATTTCTCATTATAATTGGATTATTACGATTTTTAAATTTAGGTTGTGTTGTTTGTAAATGATAAGAAATTAATAATATATATGATTATAAATGCTAGAGGCCAATGCTAAGGTATTTTATGTTTTTGTTTTGACAACTTTTTATTCATAATATCTACTTCGCCTTTGGATTTGCTATGATACTTATAAATTACTGCTATATTAGCTACTTATTAATTGTATATACAGGGTGTTTCAGGTTTTTGTAGCAGGACTTTAACAGTCGATAGATCTTTTAAAATTAGCACAAAAAACTTCATATAAACATAGGTCGATAAACGCTTTGTTTTAAAGATACAAGGTGTTTAAGTTAAATTTTTTAATTGATTTTTATTTAATATTACACGTGTATTTCAACCGATTCTATTCAAATTTGGTATACGGAGGTTTTTTGACAACAATAACTTTTCTGACAGTATACTTTTTGGCTTTTTGAATAAAAAATCTTAATCTCGGTACTTTTTTAAGCAAAAACGGTATATTAAAACCCTTATCAAAATGCGCTAAAGGTCATCATTTTCAAGATGAACCGCTTTTTATTATTCGATATAGTGGACCATTTTTTTTAGAGGATTGTTAAAGATAGGTATAACAATGTTTGCCATTAAAACAAGGTAGGTAAGTTAGCGGATATTCATTTTGTTTATGGGTTTGCAAACGGAAATTCAGCAGAAGTAGCCCTAGGGTATAGGAGAAGATATCCAAATAGAAGATATCCGCATCCTTCTGTGTTTGTGAAAGTGCATAGACAAATAGTTGAACAAGGGCTAAATAATGACGGGTAGATCGTAATAATGACAATGTTAGACTGCAAAGAAACTTTAGAAGAAGAGTTTTGCGTGAGTTCGACAGAGACCCCACCACGACTGTTAGAAGAGTTTCGAATGCCTTATGAATTTCTAGGGCGCGTAATGCTTGTAATGACATAAGGCTGTTCTTAAATACCATTACTCGATCAGTGATTCGTCGGTCAGAATTATGCAACCAATTTTTTTTACATTTTCAACAATTTCTTTAATTTTTTTTTATTATTTAGATTAAAAAACATTAATAAACTAAAACATTAGGTAATTTACCTACTTTGTTTCCATGTCACACATTATTTTAACTATCCTCTAAAAACATTGGTCTGTATCGAATAATAAAAAGCGGATTATCTTGAAAACGATAAATTTTAGCGCATTTTGATAAGAGTACCCTTTTTGCTTAAAAAGTATAGAGAATACCTGAAAAACCTGAAACACCATGTATATACAGGGTGTGTGTCAAATGTCTGGAATATAGCATAGCCAATAACTTCGCCATTTGTGGTTTTAAAGAAAAATGTTTCAAATAAAAAATTCTGTATTAATTGTGGCGCATTTTTTGGCTATATTTGCTTGTTTACATTGTTTTTTGTTTCGTTGTTATGGCAATCAACATTATAACAATTAATTTGCTGATTTAATATTTTCAGAGAATGCATTTTTCTCGATTTTTTCTTATAAATATGTTCATCGCATAGAGGGATTTATCCTCTATCAAAGTGTGCAAAGAAAATCTATGCATCCCATTTAAAATAACAATGTTGGTTGCCATAGCAACGAAACAAAAAACAATACAAACAAGCAAATATCGCCAAAAAGTGCGCCACGATTAATAAAGAAATTTGTATTTGAAACATTTTTCTTTAAAACCACATGGCGAAGTTATTGGCTATATTTCAGACATTTGACACACCCTGTATATTTAATTATGTACATGCGTGATAGAGATAGCATTGCTCTTCTTTGATACATAAATTATTGAAAATCTTCAAGAAATATAATTTCCATATATGTTTATTAATAGTTCATAATTTCTACTATTAAGAAATATTAAGAGGACTGGAGAAAGGTGGGCGGCATATATGTTTAAGCACCTTGGAAAGGTCTAAGTATCCCAGAAAATCGTTAAAAATATATTTAAAACCTAAAGTTCTCTTAAAACCTTAAACTACTCTAGAAGTGCATAGAAATCCATAAATTCTAACAAATCCTAGGAAAATTTTTGGATGAACATATGGTTTTAATTACGAGGATTTGTTTATTATTATAAGGATAATTTCGCAGGGAAATAATACATTCCTCATTGATTAATCATGTTTAATTAAACATGTTTAATCGACGTTTCGAGCTGTTATAAGCCCATCATCAGGATTTTAATCTAAATTTAAAAGAACAATTACAATTTTAAGCAAAAAACAACAACGAAACATTAAATGTATTAGTTGTAAATGTTTCGTCGTTGTTTTTTGCTTAAAATTTTAATTATTCTTTTAGATTTATATTAAAATCCTGATGATGGGCTTATAACAGCTCGAAACGTCGATTAAACATGATTAATCAATGAGGAATGTGTTATTTTCCTTTTTAGATAAATTTAAAAATTTGTAAATATTTGTGGTGGACTTTAGATATGTATGGAAATTTTAGGAAATGTAAAAGCTTTAATATTCTGGATATTCTTGACAATCCATAATTCTATGGAAATCTTTAAAAATACCTTAGAAACTTGATGTTATAAATCTCTGTGTAATTTCTTAGATTTCTTTGAAACTTTCTTGAAAAATCTTATAAGTTCTCTAAAAAATTTGATAACTTTCTGGAAATACCTGAAAATAAGTTTAAATCCTTAAGAATTCTTAAAAATTACGGAACATTTTTAGACATTTTCGGATAACCCTAGAAATTCCTGCATTTTATTTGCCCTTTGACAAGCTGGTTAAATCCAATGCTGTTCATACATTAACACTATCTAGTACTGATTGATAGAACTGATTGATGCATCACAATTCCAAAAAATCTTTATTACTTATTTAGGCAGTTTGGAAAGAATGTACCATGTAAATTAAGTTTGATCTGCATCGGCGCTGATTTATTTGTTTTTACACGTTCTACATATGTATGTAAGGCATAAATTTTCCGCATATCATCTAGATTCTTCATTATTGTTTCTGAGGACACAACCAATAACCAAGGTGCCCAAAATACTTTAAATTAAAAGACTGACACTAAAACTAACACATTTTATTTCGAAGATTCATGTAAAACATGTCAAGAATTAATTAACACAACTTAACGGTGTTGACATTTTACAAACATTTGATGCACTTATATTACTAAATTTTGAGCAGTGAAGGGTTGCATTTAAGGTTTAGGTTTGTTTTGTCATATAGTCACCTGAGAATTATTTTTAACCAAGTCTTTCGTCTACAAAACAGTGATTTGGATTTAGTATAACATCATTTGGACTACAGCTATTACTAAATTCATGTTAAGATTAGTGGTATCAAGTCCTATATGACGTGGTTGCATGCTCTGTTATTATTGGTACATATAATACAGTTGCACATAGTAAGATTTGGACATGCTTCAAAATAATTCTTAGGTGACGATATCTTCTCTTCTATGAAGGCACCATGGAAATATAGTTTAACTTCTGTACTGTTTTTGGTCATTGATCAATGTTCTTGCTTCTCATCAACACTAAGATTGAATCCTCATACAGCATCTAGGTACACGAATTATAAATGTATAGATGTTTTAAAGTGGATTACTGCTACAACCATTATTGTTATAGAGTTAAATATAATTGATTATTAATAATTATTCTTACACCATTGTTTTGAAAGTTGTTATTAATAGGTTTCCATGCCACGATATATCTCGGTCTATTTGTACCAAATAATATATATTTCAATGATTAAAAAATAGTAATAAATTTACTCGATATTCAATTGCGGAAATAAGTTTATATCTATCGAACTACTTGACTTATGTTGAACACGTTGAGCTCCACACTTGTGCACACGATACCACTTGATTTAACGTATTCACTTAAAATGCCAGAGAAACGCACTGCGCGAACGTCTCACATGGAATATCTGCGTTTTTACAGTCGTAAAAACGAGCTCATTTAAAATAACTTATTGCATTTCTTTGCTATAATGCCAGTAAAATATTGCCGCACATTCATTATTTGTGTAAGGTTAGCGTTAGAGGAATTAATTGTTTCATTGTGACTCTGACAACTCGACTCTGACTGTGGTTGTTAATATATGGAAAGAGTATAAATAATTAAAACGAGGTTGTCCTTTTTTTTTGATTGAGTCTATTGTCTTTTGAATGGAACAACCTAATAAGTCGATTTTTTGACTTATCATATATTATGGTATAAAATGGTGTAGTAGATATTGACATAAGGACTATGTCCATAACTGAGCGATTTCTTAATTCCCATAGTTGTTTTATTAGTTTAGTTTAGAAGATTAACAATGAAATCTTCACGACCTGAATAGTAACATCATTTCTTTATCTGCAAACTATGGATTTACTCCTGCATAATTATTCCTCGTAAAATTGGAGGCTCTCTTTATTAAGAAGCTCTTGTGTTGTCTCGCTGCTCTTGAACGCAATTGCAACCATTTTTAAATATGTTGATAATTTCTCTTCTAATAATCGATTAACATTTAACTTTTGAATTTATCTTTTATTTGAAACTTTAAACCTTTGTTTATTTAGTTTCATTTAATCATACCTTTTTGTTAATGTTTTTATTTGAAAACTTTTTAACTATTCCGTTAACTTAAAAAAACCACACATTAAAGAATGTTTACAAATAAGATTACAACTCAAGTTATTGCTTGAAATTTATTTAGATGTCCGGTTGGCTCGTTTTGCCAAAGAAAAAAGCGAACTTCAAGATCAAATAAGTCATCTACGTTTAGAATTGGAAGAGGAAAGGAGTAAAAGAAGAAAATCAAACGCGTCTGGCATTACTCTAAACGGTCCAACATCCGAAGCAGATTTTGACATGATGGATATGCAAAGTAAAACAATTATTTTCATAAATCTTATCTTAAATTATTATCTTGATTAATCTTTTTTTAGGAGAAGTCTCAAAACAACTTGCTGAATATAAATTTCGTTCACAAAAAGCGGAACAAGATGTCGCAACTCTTCAGGCGAACGTGGCGAGATTGGAGAGTCAAGTGATTCGGTATAAAGCCGCGGCGGAAATGTCTGAAAAATCGGAAGAGGCGCTCAAGTCGGAAAAACGGAAGCTTCAAAGAGAGGTATTAATAGTTATTGTTGTTTAAAATTATTATTTTTGCAAGTTCATTTTTTTTTGGCTGTCGATATAGCTTTATTAATTTTCTTTTAAACCGCGTTTATTATTTTTTTTTCAGGACTCGTTAAATACTACTGCTAGTTCATTTGATGATGAAAGTATATGCGATGATTCTAGAGGTAGATAACACTTAAAAAAAATAATTTAAATCAGCTATTAGCTATGTGTCTCAAAATGATTTAAAGATCAAAAGAAATTGATCTCGATCGCTTTGAATCTATTTTTAACTTCGATCTGAACCTCCATGTTTAAAAACTACTTGAATTGTTTTATTTTGTATAAGGGTTTGTTTTTTTAATGTACAAAAACATGTTTTTGTAGGGGACAAAACTAGCAGAAAAAAATATTTTTATATTTTTGCTTAATTCATGTTGTTTATGTTTTTTTTGTTCTTAATTTTCTTTCTTAGCCTTTTTTAAGAATCTTTAAGCTTTGTGCAGCTTGAAAAAGGTTACAAATCATATCATTTAAACTAATTAGTTTTTGAATTTGACTGTTACAGGCTCGGGAAGCTATGAATAGAGCGGAGGAGTTAGAAACGTCGAATACGCACTTGTTAAAGCGACTAGACAAATTGAAAAACGCGAAATCAGCACTTTTAAAAGAGCTTTGACAATCAACGGAGAAATAGTTGGACGTATAAAAATATGAAATTAAAAAAAAAAATGTTTTATGAAAAATAAAAGGGAAATATCTCACCGTGCCTGATCCACTTTCGCTAAACAAGAACGTTTGTGTAAATCTTCAATGTAAAAGATAAAAAATCTAAAAGAAAAAAGATAAAAAAAATATGTTGCTCAAAAAAAAATTAATTGAAATAATAAGACAAAGAGTCTTATAGGGTTTTTTTTTGTTGTAAATAATTTTATTTGTAATTAATGTTCCCACTTAATTTTTCTTATTGAAACATTTTAATCATAACTAAAATAATTAAAAATAAAAAAGTATCACAACCGCAAATCTTATTTGTTGTATAAATTAATTAACAAAGGTGTCACTTTTCGTTTTTTTTTAATATTATAATTATCTTTTTGTATAAAGCTACAAGTAAATAAAAAAGTCCCGGAGTTGTATCATATCTTTATACATAATATATTTTTTATGTTTAAAAAAAATTGTTTTATATTACACACTTAACTGTTTTATATTATTTATTTAGTTTGTAATTAATTTTATACTTGTAAATATTATAGATAATGCGAGTAGGAAACTCAGGACGTATCCGTACCAATAATTTTTTCATTTCCTTTTTTTTTGTGGGGAAAAGTTGAGCAGACGAAAAAAATATGGAAAGATTGTATAGCTATAAACCTATGTTGTTGCAGGTGTGTATTTTTAACACAATAAATTAGTAAACTATAGACAAGATTTTTATTAAGTCATTAAATATTAACCACCCCTTCATTAATTATAAAAATATAATTTATTCCATTTGTGTTTTGTAATGTTGTTAGTTTAGCTGTGCATCTCAAGACTGCTAAACTCGAATATTTCTAGTTCAATAAAAATATAGAACCAGCACTAGAACTAACACTAAAATGTTACAAATGCTTCTAGTTCTAGTGTTAGTTCAATGACGATATACAACAATCTAGCGTTGAATAACAATTAAAACTAAAAAGTTTCAGGTTTACACACAGCAAACAACAATAGTTAACACTACGTGACGTATTGCTCTAATACTGACGTCATTTTCTGGATTACAAAAGAAATAGCAGTTTTAGATTTAACTGTCCTTGTAATAAGTTAATTTAGTATGGATATAAAAACAAATAAAATTGTTTCAAAAAAATTTTATTCAACTTTAAATATCAGACATGATTTTAATTCTATTGCTTGAAAAATAATGAATTAATCAAGTGAAGAATTGTAGAGAATTGTTTCCATTTTTAATAACTATTTAATAAATATTATTTAATAAACAGTTATTCAATAATAACTATTTTATAACTGTCTTATATAAACTAATTGTAAGTCTGAAATAGTCCTTTTCTGTGTGTGTTTTGTTAGGCAATTAATTCTACTCATCTACTGCAACAATAAAATTGTATGTACAAAATGGATTTATTGGCCGCTCAATAAGCGCCAATTATTAAGATTATTTACAAATTCAGGTTTATACTTAAATTCTAGCGTGGGGAATTAAAGAATAAGTTAAAACTTAATAAGTTAAATAATTAAATGAAACGCTACGTTACGTTTCTAAAAATAAGCGTTAAAAACAGGAGCAACTTTAACAAAACACTTACTACATACAAAAAATAAATGAGAAAAAAAAACAGATAAAACACTTTGTACAATAATAAATTAAGTTTTTTTTTTAGTTAATTTAAATAAATTTCAAGACGCCTTAATAATCGACGATGATTTTATCTTAAATCTTATCAATTAAATTTAATACTATTTTAATCAAATTATTTTGTTTACCCTGTACACAAAACATTAATTTATTTTCGTTCAAATAAATCATGCAATAATAATAATTCCAATTTAATTAATTACTTTAAATTCATCATAATTAAAGTTTAATTTGGTTTATTGATTGAGAAAAATCTAAAATTTATCTATTTACAATTTTACATCATTTTTTGCTAATTACAGGTATCATTTTTTTTATAGTACATGATTCACAAAATAGATTCTTTCATTTTTTTATGATATCTTCAAAGTATTGGATAAAAACGAAGTATTATATACAAAGTGATTCAACCGAGCGATTTAATTTATTTATTTAAAAAAAGTCAGTTAATTGATTTACTTTGTATGGTTAAAAAGCCTTAATGAATAAATTATATAAAAAAATCAAATAAGAATACTTTGAAAGTATCATAATTTCTTAAACTACACTTAATCTCAACTATTAATCTATTTAACCGTCAATTCAATATAAAAATAAATACAGAATTACATCTTCATTTAATGTAATTATCATTATGCCTAATATAAAAATTAATTTTATTTTAGCGACTAAAAAAAGATTGATAACAGAGTTAAACCCGTTCTATCTTCGCTTTCTCTTATTTATCTAATTATAAAAAGAATCTTCACGCAGTCTCTCCACTAAAAAATCCTTTCCCAGTCTTACATTCCCTTATAGTAACCGTATTTAAATTAACTGTAACGTCAGTAATAAATACTTGATCAGCTAAAGGATTTCTTGCTAACCAATAATCGGCTCCAGGGCTGGTTAGTTGCGGAACATTATTTTCAATTTCTCCACTATTATGACCATTTTCAGTTTTATGGCTGGTATTTTTATGTTTAACTTCTGGTTTTTTCTCTTGCTGTTTATCGTTTGTTCTAGAAGCGATTGGTTTTGGAGAAGCAGGTTCTTTTAGTGTACTATGTGGTAAAGAGCCTTCTAAAGCATTCGGTTTTTTATCAGCGTTAGATTTAGGTGTCGTAGCTGGTAAAACCGCCAAATTTGAAGCATCCTCCTCTTCCTTATGAATCTTAGAGATTTTCAAAGGTGGAGGACTACTAACCGTCGGACTTGTCGTTATTTTAATCCCCGTTTTACCGGATTCTTTCGATAAAACTTCCGCTTTACGTTTAGTTGGTTCTAATCGCTCCAAAATTGGTCTTCGATCTTCACTACTCGAACTATTATTTTCGTTATCTGTATCAACAGATTTTGCATCTTGAGTATCCAAATCTTCGTCAACGCGAGTATCGTCGTCTTCTAAAGCTGGTAATTCTGGTGATTTTTTAACAGAATGCGTAGATTCATCTTGACTCTCTTCTCCACTTTGTCGAACTTCTTCTTCTGTCGTTTGAGAACGATCCGGATGTTTTCTTTTAGGACCTCGTTTGGCGCCTTCATTTCTTTGTGAACGTTCGTATAAATCTATCAAGCGAACGTCTAAAATATTTTCTTCTGGTTCCCAAGTATTGTGTTTTGGACCCCAACCTTTCCATTTTACGTAATATTCCACCACACCCTTTTAAAAAATAATAAAAATTAATAAAAATTGAAACAATAATTTTAATTAATAAAATTTTGCATTGAGTCTTTGAACCATAAGATATATTAATTGAAAATAAATCAAATAAGTGCATCATAAAGAATTTTCAGGGTGCAAAAAGTCCATCAATGAAAATCACCAATTCATGGCAGTTAGGCTGCAGAATATCCATAAAATAATTTCGAGATAACTCAACTGCCATACTACTAATTCGATTGTAACACAATTTTAATAGCAACAGATCATGATTTATTAATTCTTGAAGTTTTTGAGTTCACTTATCAAGAAACCTAAAGATGACACCATTTAGATCAAACAACTATAGTGTTTCCTGAAACCAGCTTGTCTGGCCAAATTTTGGACTGTGGTTACAAGCATGTCACATGTCTTTAAGACCAATATAGACTAGAATATTAAGTATGCCGGTGAAGAACAATATTAAAAAATAGATGATTAGAGATATCATGATATAATATCAGGAAAGATGTACGATTTTAGCAAAGATGTTTAGGGGCGCCATATTATAGATCAGTGGTGTCCATAACGTCGATCGCAAAGCAGTTTTGAGTCGATCGCCAAGAAAATCATGAATCTGAAATATTTATATCTGGGCCTCAGAGGAAAAAAAAGGAAGGTTACTTTAAACCCTTCGGTCGATCTTGGCAAGACATTTATATAAAAAGTCAATTTTGATCAAAAATTAGTGGAGACCACTGCTCTAAATCGATTAAACGTCAACATTGTTGATTTTCGAAAATTAACTCAATCCTAACTCATAAACTAAAAGCGATGGGGAAATATTTTTTATACATAAAACCTTAGTAATGGACCATAAAGACTAGATCCATAAAAAGATTGAACCCAATTATTACCATTTTTTATTTATAAGCTCTAAATCGATTAAACATCAAAATTGTTGATTTTCGAAAATTAACTCAATCATAACTCATAAACTAAAAGCGATGGGGAAATATTTTTTATACATAAAACCTTAGTAATGGACCATAAAGACTAGATCCATAAAAAGATTGAACCCAATTATTACCATTTTTTATTTATAAGCTCTAAATCGATTAAACATCAAAATTGTTGATTTTCGAAAATTAACTCAATCATAACTCAAAAACTAAAAGCGATGGGGAAATACTTTTTATACATAAAACCTTAGTAATGGGCGATAAAGACTAGATCCATAACAAGATTGAACCCAATTATTACCATTTTTATGTATAAGCTCTAAATCGATTAAACATCAAAATTGTTGATTTCGGAAAATTAACTCAATCATAACTTATAAAATAAAAGCGACGGGGAAATATTTTTTATACATAAAACCTTAGTAGTGGACCATAAAGACTAGATCCATAAAAAGATTGAACTCAATTATTACCATTTTTTATTTATAAGCTCTAAATCGATTAAACATCAAAGTTGTTGACTTTCGAAAATGAACTCAATCATAACTCATAAACTAAAAGCGATTTTAAACCCTTCGGTCGATCTTGGCAAGACATTTATATAAAAAGTCGATCTTGATCAAAAATTAGTGGACACCACTGTTATAGATGCTGTTGACGAAGGCTAGACCTGATATTCAAGGATACCAAGGACGATGTTAATAGATGATGAGAAATAACAAATTTCTTCAGAGAGAGGCTACGATTGTGTTGAGTGATGGAACTATGTTTAGATATGTGACGAACGATTTTGATACCATAGGTAGATAATGTTTGAGATTGTTAAGGATGTTCAGATATTTAAAAAACGATGTTTATAGCTATTAGTAAAGATGATGAGACACGGGTAAGATCATGAACTAATTTGATGTTATAAACGATGTTGAGAGATACCGTAAACAATGTTTAGCGATATCAAAAACGATCACGATAGATTGTGGGGTAAATGTTGATGTTAGGATAATTTTGAAATATATCAGTGATTACGTGGGAAGCTAATAGTAATGCTGTAGAGGGATTGAGGAGGCCAGGAACGATATTCTAGATTATTCGGGACGATGTTAAAAACTATCATGACCAAAAAGATTATGTTGGAAGGATTTATAGGTGTTAGGCTTTATTCTGAGAGATAACTGGGATGATATTGAGAGATGTCGTGTATTAAATGATACAATAAACCTCAATGTTATGATGTTTTGATTAAACCCCGTATCTTGACACTTATGGACACTGAAAAATATGTTATTCATAATATGATGGCACTGGCTACACCGCCGTATTCCGCGAATTTAAGTGAGCGATTTCTTTATCGTCAGACCACTGCGCTATTTATAACATATTATAAATCAGGTGAACTAATCGCATTGTGGCATCTGTATCAGTGATCATTTGAGTGAAGAAGTGTGTATTTTTCCAAAAATATATAGTGTCTACAGGTAAGACAAAAATAGCTATCTAACCCTTTTCGCTTTTTTTGAGCTTGTATAGGTAGCTTTACCTATTGAACTAATTGCAAAATATTTTTTTTTGAAATTGAAATTAGGTACAAAACAACCTTTTCAAATTAACAAACATGTTATGCTTTATGTTATGTTATGCAATCTCTAAGTAACCATTTCAAACGTTTTCATAATCAAACTCAAATTTCACATTCAGGTGGAATGTAGTCTGGGTTTTCAAAATTTAGCTTCTTTTAAAAGACATGTCATTCGGGTTCATTATTCTACGAATGCATCTTCTATAAACTCCTTAATATCAAATGATAATTTTAACGATATATCAATAGATGAAGCTAAAAACTTTAATATCGCAGCAACCTTGCCATGTGTTCAACCAGCAATAAAAATTTAGTGCCACCACCAATGAAAACATACAGGAAGAAGAATTTAGATTTGATACTTTTCAGTAACAGATAACCAACTCTGCTTCAAAATTTTTGCTTTATCTTTATAACAATAACGTGAAATAGTATATAAATAAATTATTCTGCTGATTTCACACAAAATTATACCTTGTCAAAAACTATCACGGTCGAGTAGCGTTTTTTTGTGACTCGTATAGATGTAGTCTTGAAACTTTGGTCTTTTCTTATAGTAGTCATTCAAGTAATTATAATGACAACAATGAGAAACAGATAAATTTTGGAACTACATGTTATTTCCTAATATACATCAGAAAACACAGTAGTACTTACATTGTATTAATGAAGACCACTTCATTGGTACAATGAAACAATTTCACTATGTTAATGAATTCATTCATTGAATAAAGAAAAATAATTCATTAAGACAAAGATTAGTTTCATTCTATTAAGGAAATTTTTTTTATTAAATAGTAAATATGGTTCATTAAACAATTAAAATTGTTCATTACACAATGAAAACTGTTCATTAAATAACGAATATTGTTGTTCATTAGGCAAATGAATACATTTCATTGCGACAGAGACTTGTTTTCACTTTGTACTAAAAATGTTGCAGAAAATTATGACAATGATCGATAACAGGCTATCATAACTATTATATCTTAACAAACGTTTTGGCAAAACATAGAAAGCCTTATCGTGAATTTTTAAGGAAGCTTTTTTTGAGGGCAGCGAGAAATTTCCAACTGCAGAACTGTAACTCGTCGTATTGAAGATATGAATAAAAATGCAACACGACAATTTGAAGATGACATACAAAGTTGCCGTTTCTTTCGTTGGAGTTTGACGAGTCAACAGATATCGTTGATACTTAACTAATTTTTAACAATACTTCATAAACGCGGAAAACGCGAGGTCCAGATATGATGGCAACTTTTATGTCATTTGCCGAAAAAAGAATTGATTGGTGGAAATCATGGATTTTTACCCCTTTGCAAATAAAATGAACTGTTTCCTGATTTCATATCATTTCATTACATAATTTATAATAATGAGCGCGAAGTTAAGGAGGCGTCTTTTTTGTCATGTTAGGTGGCTCAGCCGAAGAAGCTTTTTGGAAAGATTTCTAAATCTTTTGCCTTTCAGGCATTATTGCATTTTTGGACACATTGGGAGAAAAACGTGAACAATTGGAAGATCCAGAATGGGTAAAAAGAATTGCATTTCTCACGGATTTTATGGGCCTTCACAGCTCGCTTAATTTACAATTACAAGGAAAAAGAAAAAATATTATTGAATTGTAGAAGCAAAAATTTAAATATTTTCCATATTTAGAAAAACATATTAAACTTACTGGTGAATGTAATATTAAAATGTTTTGTTGAACTTGAAAATTTTAATCAAGAATTTGAGAAATGATTGCAAATCTCAATAATCTTCAACCGATTTTTGAATTTATTTCATTTCCTTTTGGAGAATTCGATAACGAAAATATTTCATCAAATGTAGCTCATACTTTTCAAATGAATTCATCAGCTCTACAGTTAGAAATTTTAATAATACAATCAGATAGAATTGTAAAAGCACGTGCAAATGAAAATAATTTTTGGAATTTATTACCAGAAGAAATATATTCATTATTGAGATCGGTGGCAATGAAGATATTTACATTTTTTGGTTCCACTTATCTATGTGAAGCAGCGCTTTCTGAAATAAACAACATCAAAGTGCAATTTAGGACTTTTCTGACTGATGACCACTTAATGGCATCTATTCGATTATGCATCAGTGATTACAAACCTAACTTTACAAGACTTGGTGATGAAATGGAATGTCACGCATCTACATCAAAAAATTAATCCAAAATATTTATCTATAAAGTACATTGCACAAAATAGTAAATACAATGTATTTAATATATTATTATCAATAAAGACCTTTTTATACGTTTTTAATTTAACCCATTTTTCGAAGTCGATAGCGCATAAATAAGAAAAATTAGAACTCTAGAACAAAATGAGATATCATGAAATAAGAAGTATTTTAAAACAAGTTTGTTTAAGAAACGCAGAAGTGTAGTGGGATACCATACACTTTGTGAAAGTCAGAAACGATATTCTAGGTTATCAGAGATATGTTGAAAAATATCAGAGTTCATGTTGAGAGATATCACGAGGAACCTTATATCATATATATAGTTTGCACTATATCCGGTTCCTTCTATTCTTGATACAGTTCATGGTTAAAACGTCTGCGCTATTGTCCCTGTTCTTGGATACGTCCATATATCATTGTCATATTTTGGCTGCAAAGAAGAATTTTACGAGCAATGCGAAGGGACAGTCATTGAATCACCTTTGTCAACTGTAATCACCAATTTCTGCATGGAGATGTTTGAAGAAGAAGCGTTACGGAAGAGTCCGTGGAAACCAAAGTTATGGTTTCGTCACGTGGATGACACATTTGTAATCTAGCAGCATAGAAAAGAGCATCTCCAGAAGTACCTTTCTTTGATGTTTTGGTCACTAAAAAGAGTCGGGTTTAGCCGCCTTGAAAGAAGCGCGACTCGATAAAGATCAGAGACAATATTTAACTACATCAATAACAATCTTGATAGCTGATGGTGAATTTGTTGATAGAATCCAGAATACTTCTGGAAATTCTAGGAACCATCTTGGTACGTCACGAACTATTTGGTGCCATAGAATGATACCTTCATCATTCTATTAAGGAAGTTGTTGATAGATGAAGTAGAAGACAATGAGTGAGGTAGTGGTGATACTGTAGTAGTGGAGTAATGTTACAGATTATATTGAGTTATGTCAGAAACGATGTTGCGAAATATAGCAAGAATTGTTGGGAAAGGTTAGCAATTGTATTGAAAGATATTGGGGATGATGGTTATAAATATTAAGTTGAAGTTGTTGAGCAATATCAGGGTATATATTTGGAGATAACAAAGTTGATAGAAACGTGGACGATTATAAGAGAAAATTTTAAACGCATAATTTGTTTTGCTCTTAATTTTTAAAAAACAAGCCGAATGTAAAGATATAAATGACTTGAAAGCGACATAATAAGAAAAGTATGTGGTGTAGAGAATATGGCAACCAACTGGGTCAATTTTCACTTAAGATGTAAACGCAAAAAAAGAAATTTAAACAAGATGTTATTTTTATTTAATACTCAAACCCAACCCAACCTAAACAATTCTTGTTTATTCAAAGACTAAACATCAATATCTCTGTATCAGTAGCACCCAGGCAGTTTATAGCCTCTCTATAGCTCTCTTCATGGTACTTGCTGGAAATCACCCTTGAACATCTAGTTCTGGATGTTTTGATCCAACAAGGTGGTCAGTTTTTCTCTCTTTTAACATGACAGGAACATATTTTGAACTTCATTCATATAAGCATGCAGGTGAATGAGTTCGATTCAACATTTTTAACTTCAATAAAATTAAGTTAGATCGAGCTGGTGAACTCAAATCAAAATTTTGATCCAATTAATAATATTTAATTAACTTTTAATTTTATTATTAAATTAAATGCATAATTTAATTTTGGTTCTTTGTCCTTTCTTGTACCTACGCTGAAAATTATTAAATTAGGTTAGGTTTTAACTGTCAAATAGTGACAGCTAATTTTAAATAGGTTAGAAACAGGTTGTCAATCAAAAAACTAAACAAGATCTGTATTTTGATGTATTTTTAAAAGAAAACCTTATAACCATTAGATTTTTAAATATCTATTTCACTTTTAAACCCATACATAAACCCTATATATACAACCTTTAAGAAATCTCAACAAAAACAAAGACATAAACTAAACTAACCTCAAAACAAATCCAAACGTAAACTCACGGAAAAGCTTTGATGGTGCATACTAAATACAAGATAAAATAAAAGGTATCCGAATGATACATAACGTAAACATACATACCTTTCTAGTTCGTTTCTTGATGATCTTTTCGGCGGCGTAAACGCGATCATCGTGAAGTTCCATGATTGCCGTCGGACAAACTCGAACGTTATGAAAAAGGTTGGGAACGTACTGTAAAGTATATCGGTTAGGTACAAGGGTGGGTCCACGGTGAACTCATAGCACTTTTAAACATTTATGTCTTTTAATTTTTCATCGCTTTAGGTAAGATTTTCTTTAGAAATCGTTTTGATTACAACCTCCCCACTTCTTCAAAACAGTTACAAACAAAAATGGCCGCTCTAACGGTAGCGATACTAACGGTTAAGAGGTGAACTACGAAAATTAAGATTTTAGTATTTAGAGGGCGACACTAAATTTAAATTTAAAAATAAATACAAAATTAAAAATTATTTTTAAGATATACAATTACAATAAAACCTAGTTAGAACGGATAAAATATTTTTAAGTCATACTATAAATATTTTATATTTAATACATCATCAGTTCTACAACAATAATAATAATAATCTTTAAACTTAGCAATTTCGCACGTCAGGTACTTTATAAAATTTATTTTCGAGTAACATATCCTTATCATTACGATTAAAATTCTTTATATTTAATTCGGTTATAGATACTGGCAATTTATTATAAAAACGTCTCTAAGGACGGCTAAACCCGAATGATTCTAGTCTAGGTATAGTGTTAGTTCTAGTTTTACACTTGCACTGTCACTAGAACTAACATCAGACCTAGAACTAGAAACATTTGGGTTTAGCCATACGTCTCTTAAGACGGCTAAATCCGAATGTATCCAGTTCTAGGTCTAGTGCTGGTTCTAATGCACTGAGAGAAATAGATTGTAGGAATCGTATTATAGAAAAAATATTATACATGCAGCAAATCATTGTATACATGCAGCAAATCATTGTATTATATTCATTATATTTATTGTACTGAATACAATCTCGTCTCGCTGTCACTGTTCGTAGTAATCGTATTATACTTTATAGCAGTGGTGTCCACTAATTTTTGATCAAGATCGACTTTTTATATAAATGTTTTGCCAAGATCGGCCGAAGGGTTTAAAGTAACCATCCTTTTTTTTTTGCTCTGAGGCCCAGATATAGATATTTCAGATTCATGATTTTCTTGGCGATCGACGTTATGGCCACCACTGATTTAGAGCTTATAAATAAAAAATAGTAATAATTGAGTTCAATCTTGTTATGGATGTAGTCTTTCTGGTCCATTACTAAGGTTTTATGTATAAAAAATATTTCCCCATCGCTTTTATTTTATGAGTTATGATTGAGTGGATTTTCGAAAATCAACAATTTTGATGTTTAATCGATTTAGAGCTTATAAATAAAAAATGGTAATAATTGGGTTCAATCTTGTTACGGATTTAGTCTTTATGGTCCATTACTAAGGTTTTATGTATAAAAAGTATTTCTCCATCGCTTTTAGTTTTTGAGTTATGATTGAGTTAATTTTCGAAAATCAACAATTTTGACGTTTAATCGATTTAGAGCAGTGGTATCCACTAATTTTAGATCAAAATCGACTTTTTGTATAAATGTCTTGCCAAGATCGACGGAAGGGTTTAAAGTAACCTTCCCTTTTTTTGTTCTGAGGCCCAGATATAGATATTTCAGATTCATGATTTTCTTGGCGATCGACTCAAAACTGCTTTGCGATCGACCAGTCGATCGCGATCGACGTTATGGATACCACTGCCTTATAGTATATTTTTAGTGCATAGTACAATCCATTTCTCTCAGTGTGCGGGTGTTAGTTCTAGTTTTAGTTGTTTTTCAGCGTTATATTGTTGTGTATTTATCATTGAACTAAAACTGGAATTACCACTAGACCTAGAACTAGAAAGTTTAGGGATTAGCCACATTACATCTTCAGACCACATTACATTAGTGTACCACATTATAATACCACTTAACAATCGAGTTCTATAAGTTCATTTGAACTTAACCTTCTTTTTAAAGATTGATGTAACAAATAAGATAAGAATGACAACAAAATAGCTTTGTCATTTTGACAAAAACAAAATCAAAATGAATATTTTTCATGTGGAAAACTTTATTCTTAACAATATTACTTTTAATTAATGTAAACTCCAAACTGGTTGCCATCCAAAGAAAACAAAAACATATAACAGTAAATCCCGTTATAGCTGGAGATAACTCTAAAATTAAAGACGACGAAGTAACCTTTTATCTATACAACACAAAAGTGAACAACTATAAAGTAAACGTCGAAGACAATGGAAAAAAATTTTACGAAAAAGATGGGGTGAAAATATTAATACATGGTTGGGGTGGAGACAACGAAACTTTTTGGTATTCCCCGATGAGAATTGCGTACGTTAAAAAAGGGTTTAATGTTGTTTTGGTGGATTGGAGCTTAGAAGCGCAAACGAATTTTAATAACGCCGTCAATAAAATACCATTTATAGCAGAAATAATAACTCAATTTGTTATTGAATTATCTAAAACGATTGTTATAGAACAATTTCATCTGATTGGCCATTGTCTTGGTGCTCATATTGCTGGAGTTGTAGGTAACCATTATAATAAAGTGTTTTTTAAAGAGGAATTAATATCAATACTTATTAAAAAGATTTTAATAAACGATAACACCTCATAATATAACATTATCTTACCACTTTGAAGTATCAAAAAAATTAAAATTAACCTAATTGATGTTTATCCCGAATTCTTTATTTTTGATATAGGCAAAAAAATGTTTTCTCAAAATCATGAAAAAATATGGAGAATAACGGGTCTTGATCCTACAGGGTTAAGTTTTAATCATATAAAAGATACAAAACGATTATCTAAAGATGATGCTGTACATGTTGACACAATTCTTACAGATTCTGGATTAAATGGAATGGGTTTAAATCGCACCATTGGGCAAATTAATTTTTTCCCAAACGGCGGAATAGCTTCTCAACCGGGATGTCTACGTTGTAATTTTAAATTTATTTTGGCACCTTTATTTTTATTAGATGATTGATTTCTAGTTCCTTGTAGTCATAACAGGGCTGCGCTTTATTTTCAAGAAAGTATAACTTCGAAAAACTTTATTGCAAGAAAATGTGACAACTTCTTACATTATACGAATAAAAAATGTTCCAATAATCTGGTTAATATACTGGGAGATAAAACTTATTTAGACGTAAAAGGCGATTTTTATTTAAGTACATCGTCGCAATCACCGTTCGGATTAGGAGATACTTAAGATGTAACGTTTTTATAATTTAAAAATAAAATTATTGGAATTTTTAATTACTTTCAAGTTCGTTTTGTTTTGATTGTAATTAAAAATATTTTTAAATCACCACATCAATCAATTTATATCAAATAACATTTTCAAGTCTTGATTTTGATAAAATAAAAGATAAAACTTTTTTAAATCGCCACCAGCAAAGTATTAAAGATAAATAAATTATCACGATTCATGCCACCAATAGACTTTTTAATAAACAAAGGAAATTTTTATTGCTTTTAAGATATGATAAATAATTTAATTGTAATATTAAAAAATGATAATTTAGATTTATATACGGCTAAACCCGAACGTCTCTAGTTGTAGTTCTAGTGTTAGTTCTAGTTTTACTTCAATGTAAAATAAACATCTACATAAATAACAACTTAAAGTAGAATTAGCACTAGACCTAGAACTAAAACTAGTCTAGTGTTAGTTGTAATGCTAGTTCAAAAAAAATATACAACAATCTAGCACTGAATAACATCTAAAACTAGAACTAGCACTAGTATAAGAACTAACACTACACCTAGAACTAAAAACATTTGGGTTTAGCCGTCTTAAGAGACGTGCGGCTAAACCCGAATGGTTCTAGTTGTAGGTCTAGTGTTAGTTCTACTTTTAGTTCAATAAAAATATACTATAATCAAGCATTGAAAAACAACCAAATAGCTATAGCGTCATATGTAATACTAGGTAGCGTTGAGCAATCTCATCTCACTCACTCAGATGATCTCGATTCCTATTCTCTCCCTTTCCAGAAAAGAATTTTGAAGTTCCTCAGCTTGCACCATTGTTTTGACATTCCATGTACATATTCTGTTACAATTAGTTTGTTTTGTTTTTGGTTTATTATTATTATTCATGTTTCTGCTCGTATTCGCTCCCACCCAAGATCGGATGGGGGAGTTTGAAACTCCAGATTAATTTGAAAGAACGAATATCCATGCTAAAGGCTCTGGATCCTACTAGGGAAGAAAAAAATAAAAAAGGAATAATCATATGAGTTCTGATTGCCATTTTAATTCCAATGCCGTTGATTACTATTGTGATTCTTCCGGTTTCAGCGACGATTTTTCAACCAACGACAATACAGGCTTCTTCTCAATTTGTAGATTAAGTAACACCCGAGGAACACTCTTCTAGCGTAAACGAAACATATCAAAAGAATTTTTGTAATTCGACCTCGAGTTTTTGATGAATGTGTACGGTTTGAGTGCCTCTGAATCTATTTTGACTATTTTTAGCGAGCGTTATGTAAACACGATAACTCTACAACAAGTATGTAGAACCTGCGTCATACATATATGCATGCGCTTTAAATAAAGATACATCGTTAAAACGTAGTTGTGTCTTTGTAGTTACAGAAAATGTTAAAGTAAATTGCTTACCCGAGAGAGGTGTTTTATCTGACTACATAGCTGATGTTCTTCATACAAATAGTTTGAAATATTGGACAAACATGGATGCAATAAGTAACTTGATAGTAGGAAACTTTTTGATAGCTTTCCACACTGTAGCAATAGATTTTGTAACCGAACCTTGTTGTTTCGCCAATTTCGAAAATTTCAATGATATGGTTTTAATATTTTAATGGAAAAGGTTCCATCAAAGATCAGTTAACAGCCACAAATTGTAGAGAGTGTATTAGTTTATTCAGGAAGTTTATTCATCATGCTGAGATAAGATTAATAACATAAATAAGCTAACACATCATTTCCAAGCTTATACCACGTGAAATTATGTCGTTAGGATGTCTATAATATTGTAAAGATAAAGTTTTACATTGATTTTTGATTCATTTAAAAATCAATTAAACAACAATTTCAGCATTTTTTCCTCTTCCAGTACTAAAATCTGCTGTTTACTTTGGCTTGCTTCCACATTCGTACATAAAAGCGTTAAAATGTTCTTCATCACATTATCCATCCATTGTTTCTTTGGTCTTACTCTAGCTCTCTGTACCTGTGGTGTCCATTCTTCAATTCTCTTCACTCATCTATCTCCCTGTTTTTTTCCAGATGCCTTGCACATGGTAGTGATCTCTCTGCTTTTAGGTGTCGTACTTTGCACTATTCATGAGTTGGTTCTTTCGTGGATTATTCTTATTCTTCACATACCAGAAGTGTTCTGTATACAATTAAACCATACTAGCTACAACATATAATACACCAGTTCATTTAATGCCCACTCCTCCTTCTCTCCTTCACCTCCGCCATCCACTCTTTTCTCTCCCTCTCCACCCAGTACGCGCTCCCACTCCATACCTCCCTTTCTTAAGTCGTTACATCTCAGCATATGCTCAATTCTCTCCCAATCATCCCCACATAATCTACACATTCGCTCTTCATCCTCCATGAGTCACGTGGAACCCTGCTTTTCCACGTCTGTATCTCCACTCTCCAGCTCCTTCCACTGTACTGATCCTTCTTCTTTGTATTTCCTCTGTTGAGTATCCTACTCTAATATAATTTTCCCTTCTTTATTAATCTCCCTACAACATTCTCTCAAAATCTTAAAGTCACTCCTCCGCTCCACCCTGCTTCCACCCTCATCTTCTCCAACTTAAACTTTTCTGTCACAGTGTATCCCGGGTTCTTGCTGCTCAACCCCAGGACTCACTTCCAATATCTCTCCTGGAACTCTTCACCATCTTATATTCCTTCCACCTCCATACTTCGGCTCCATACATTAGCACACTCCTCTCCAGACCATCAAACATTATTTTCCGCCTGCACAAATTCTTCCCAAATATTCGTTCCCCCAGGCTTCGTATTCATATGTTATTCTTGGTCTTATAGTAGTGTGATAGATCTTGAGTTTCGATTGTCTGCGTAGTATTTAATTCATCATTTTTGTTTGTAGGCACGGTAGCACTTATTGATGCTTCGAATTGTATTCTATCTTCGAATTTTTCTGGAGCTAGAGAATTTTTCTCTTAACATCTTCTGGAGGAATTATATTAATGAAATAATAATTATTATTGTTGAATAAGATTATACTTTATTTAGAGTTATATTTAAAATTTTAAGTAATTTCTTTTTAAATTGCTTATTAGATACAGTATATTCGAAGAAGAAAGTTTTAAATAGAAAATTTTTTAAGATAATTTTTTTAATTTGTCTCTTTTGATCTTATTTATTAAGGATTACGTAGGATTTCGATAAGTAAATTGATATTAATCGCATTTGATTAACTAAATATAAATACAAACACTTTCGATCATTTTTAACGTAAAGAATACTTGAGCGATCGAGATTGGATAACAAAAAATAAGTGAAACAAACAATAAGAATAAAATGTGGAAAATTTCTGTATTTTATTTATTAATAACTGTAGGTGTAAATTTTGGTAAGAACGTTTATATCTCTTTATTTTAAACGTCAGTATTAATTCAGATTTTCCACAATAATTTAGTACATGGAAATGTCCAAGCTGATGATATTCGTTATTTTTTATGGAATAGAGATACGAATCAAGAAAGAATTAGCATAAATAATTATGGTAATAATATTGATAGAAATGCCCCAGTTAAAATTTTAATCCATGGTTGGATGCACGATATTAACTCTTTTTGGTACTCAAATACACGACAAGCTTACGTGGCCAGCGGGGCGAACGTAATCGCAATAGATTGGTCCAGACATTCCCAACAAATTGTGGCGATATCGATAAATCGTCTTCCTAATTTAGGAGAATTCGTAGCTAAATTTGTTCTTGGGTTATCCGAATCCCAAGGAATACCCATGACCAGGATTCACATTCTTGGACATTCTTTAGGTGCCCATCTAGCTGGATTTGCGGGTAAATCAACTCAAAGAATGGGGGGAAGAACGTTAGGTAGAATAACTGGGTTAGATCCAGCTGATATCGGATTTACAAACGCCGTTAGTACACAAAGATTGGATAAAAGCGATGCTGAAAGGGTTGATACCATTCTTACGGATGCCGGAATTGGAGGAGCTGGGATTAATCGGTCTTTGGGGCATGTTAATTTTTGGCCAAATGGTGGAATAGCTGTGCAACCAGGATGCTTCTATTGTACGTTTTGTCGTAAAGTAAATATTAAAAAAATATAATTAATTTTTTTTGTAGATCCTTGTAGCCATAATAGGGCACCGATATATTTTACTGAAGGAATTTTGTCGGATCTTTTTGTATCTACTCTTTGCTCTTCTTATACACAATACTTTTGGGGAACGTGTAGAAATAATCCAAGAAATATTATGGGTGAAAGAACAAATTTTCAAGTTACAGGAGATTTTTATTTAACAACGAATGTTAGGTCACCTTTCGCTAGAGGATAAAATTAGTTGAATGTAATTTGTTAATAAAAGAATCATGTAGTTTTCATTGTCAACAATATTTTAGAATAAAAGTTGGAATAATTTATTTGTAATTTTAATGTTTTTTACGCAAAAAAGTACTATTAGTAAAAAGTGCTTCTAAACAAGAATCGTTTACGAAATAAAAAATGTTTTCTACTAAAAATCACCAAAAACCACAAAATTGGAATATTTAGTCATTTAACAACCTGCAACATCTACGCCATTTATTAAATAATAATTTTAGTACGTTTTTGAATTTTTAGATATAGTTTATGTAAAAATGGTACTCTTAGGTAAAAATTCTCGGATTAACCGTTCTTGAGATAAAAAAGTTTTTGTGCTAATGCATTAAAATATCAGGATATTTACATTCTGCACTCATAACGTCTACGCCACTGTTTTTATCACTACGTCTGGCACAATTTTTAATTAATTAATGTTTTTACGCAAAAAGTACACCTAGTAAAAATTGCTAACAGGAATCATTTACGAGATAAAAAATGTTTTGTGCTAGCAAACACTAAAACAAACAAAATTTAACATTAAACTCTTATCAGTAATTTTAAAAGATTCGTCTTTCATAATCCTAATATAATCCAACTTTAATTTTAAAAGTGATTAAAACTCGCAATATAAATCCGATTTTTAGACTAAAATTTATATTTCATTAAATCATAATGAAGATTGCGGTGTTATTTGTAATATTTGTATTTGTACCTCCGATTTTTGCCGAAGTACAACCTGAAGACATCAAATATTTTTTATGGAACTCAAAAACAAGCAACGAAGAAGTCTCTATAAACAATTACGGAACAAATCTAATTAGAAACGTTCCTTGGAAAATTCTAGTCCACGGTTGGATGGATAATATAGAGGCTTTTTGGTACTTAGACGCAATAAACGTCTTCGTGGATGAATTAAACGCCAATGTGGTCATCATCGATTGGTCTGAACATTCAAGACAAATCTATTCAACTTCTATGGCGAGAGTGCCTATTATTGGGGATTACATTGCTCAATTTATTCTCGGATTGGTTAATTTAGAAGGAGTTGATTTAAATCAAGTTCATTTACTCGGCCATTCTTTAGGGGGACAATTAACAGGATTTACAGGTAAATTTTGATTTAAAATAAAATTAGAATTGTTTATTTGTTTGTTTTATTCGCAGGAAAAGCAGTTCAATCACGTACCGGTAAAAAAGTGGATAGAATAACAGGATTAGATCCAGCAGGACCAGGATTTGCAACAGCTTCAAGGGAAAATCGTTTAGATTCTAACGATGCAAATAAAGTAGATGTAATTCACACCGATTCTGGTGTGTTGGGATTGGGGATTAGTATTTCAGTTGGACATGTAAATTTTTGGCCAAATGGTGGATCAGCTATTCAACCGGGATGTTCAGAATGTTAATTAAGGAATTACAATCAAGTATTGTAATAATTAACTTCTTTGTTTTTTTTTAGTTTTATGCAGTCATAGCAGATCAGCTTGGTTTTACATCGAAGGTGTTAAAAGTAAAGGATTTGTATCCACGCGGTGTTCAAGCTTTCTAAATTATCGCCTTGGATTATGCAGGAATAATGAGCAAAACTTATTGGGGGAATTTATTGATCATACACTTACCGGAGATTTTTATTTAATTACTAACGCTGAAGCTCCATTCGCACGGGGATAACTTCTTAAATTGACTTAAAATTGTATTAAAAATGTATCAAGAATAAATTAAAAGTCTTACTTAAAAATCTTATTTTTTTAATCACCTTTTACAATTAATTTTTTATTAAAAAATCTTATTTAAAATATAAGAATTGGACACATCTGGTATTGTGCATGAAAGACTTGAAACTGATTTGTTGATAAAAATCTAGATTGAATCAGAACGGAATTTACCTTTGCTTGCTCAGAAATCTCCTGATTTAGATCTCATTAGATGCAACACAAAGAAAATTAATTATAAAGTTCATTTAAGGGTTATTTGATGGAAGGACACGTTTTTTATCATAAGATAATTTATTTTTAAATCTTGATCGATTACCAAATCTTTGTACTGAGCAAAACAACACCTGAGATTACCCCCTATATAAATGACAGTGTTTTCCATCCAGGTATTGTAGTCTACCTCCAAACAAGACAATGTGGAAGATATTCGCTCTTTTACTTCTCTGCGTCTGCGGCGGTAAGTATATTAATACATTTTAAAATTTTCCATCAAATCGTAATATAATAATAAAAATAATTTGTGTAGCGTATGCCCGCGTTTCTGCTGGAGACATCAGCTATTTCTTGTGGAATAGACGTGCTACTAGGGAACAATTGAGGATTGGTCAATATGGAAATAACATCGATAGAAGCGCACCTGTTAAAATTCTTGTTCATGGTTGGACCGAAAGTATTAACTCTTTCTGGTATACTGGAGCTAGAACCGCGTATGTAGGAAGTGGTGCTAATGTCATTGCTATCGATTGGTCCAGACATGCCCAATTAACTTACCCCACTGCAGTTAATCGTCTTCCTGATATTGGACAATTTATCGCTCAGTTTATTGATGGATTGGTGAACACCCAAGGAATTTCGATCGACGACGTTCATTGTGTTGGTCACTCTTTGGGGGCCCATCTTTGTGGATTCACTGGTAATTTAGTTAAACACACAGTTAAAATATCAATTTTAATACTTTCGTTTCTATTGGATAATTAAATAGGAAAATCTCTTAGGAATAGTTTTAGAACCACTCTTGGTAGGATTAGTGGTTTAGATCCAGCAGGTCCAAGTTTCACCACCTCCCTCAGTAGGAATCGTTTAGATTCATCTGATGCTGTTAGAGTTGATACAATCCTCACCGATGCCGGTTTAAGTGGTTTGGGCATTAACCGCTCTTTGGGACACGTTAACTTTTGGCCAAACGGTGGTTCGGCTATTCAACCAGGATGCCTTTATTGTAATACAATCAAAAAAGCTTATTTCCAACACTCATAATTCTATATAATTTTAGATCCATGCAGTCACAACAGAGCACCAAGATTCTTTAACGAAGGCATCACCTCGAGAAGATTCGTTTCTAGACGTTGTAGTAGTTACTCTAGGTACAATCGTGGACTCTGCAGACTTAACCCACAGAATCTGTTGGGTGAATTTACTGATTTTTCAACTACTGGTGATTTCTACTTGTCTACTAGACGTATTTCTCCGTTCGCTCAAGGTTAGAACTTAAGTCGTTCATTGTATCCTGAACTATATGAAATATGTATACATGATATGTATATCAATAAATAGCATACAGGTTGAATTTGGTATAATATTTTTTTTTCATGTTTATGATCAAAACAGTAATAAGATTCTAAAGCAATGATGATGGTTTTATCATCGAAATATATTTGCTCCTTTCCAATTTATATATATATTTTTTGAGATCCCCATCATGATTTCTACCTTATTATGTTCGATAGACATTATTTAATCTTTTTGTTTAATTAAGATTAATATCATAACATATATTCATTAATACATTAAAAAAACACCACGAACCACAAAATTGGTATATTTCGTCATTTAACAACCTGCTACATTTTTGCGATGTATTAAATAATGATTTTAGTACATTTTTGAATTTCTAGATATACTTTATGTAGAAATGGTACTCTTAGGTAAAAGTTCTCACATTAACCGTTCTTGAGATAAAAAAGATTTTGTGCTAATGCATTAAAATTTCAGGACATTTATATTCTGCACTCATAAAGTCTACGCCACTGATTTTATCATTACGTCTGGTACAATTTTTAATTAATTAATATTTTTTGCGCAAAAATGTACTCTTAGTAAAACTTGTTAACAAGAATCGTTTACAAGATAAAAAATGTTTTGTACTAAAAAACACAAAAAAAACCACAAAATTGGAATATTTCGTCATTTAACAACCTACAACATTTGTGCTATTTACTAAATAATAATTTTAGTACATTTTTGAATACATAGATATAGTTTACGTTAAAATGGTACTCTTTGGTAAAAGTTCTCACATTAACCGTTCTTGAGATAAAAAAGATTTTGTGCTAATGCATTAAAATGTCAGGACAATTATTACATTCTGCACTCGTAAAGTCTACGCTACCGATTTTATCATTACGTCTGGTATAATTTTTTTATAAATTAATGTTTTTTATGCAAAAAAGTACTCTTAGTAAAAAGTGCTAACAAGTATCGTTTACGAGATAAAGATGTTTTGTGCTAACAAACACTAAAACTCAAAAACAAGCAACGAAGAAGTCTCTATAAATAATTACGGAAAAAATCTGATTAGAAACGTTCCTTGGAAAATTCTAGTCTACGGTTGGATGGATAATATAGAGGCTTTTTGGTACTTAGACGCAATAAACGTCTTCGTGGATGAATTAACCGCCAATGTGGTCATCATCGATTGCTCTGAACGTTCAAGATAAAACTTCTATGACGAAAGTGCCTATTATTGGGGATTACATTGCTCAATTTATTCTTGGATTGGTTAATTTAGAAGGAATTGATTTAAATCAAGTTCATTTACTCGGCCATTCTTTAGGGTGACAATTACCAGGATTTACAGGTAAATTTTGATTTAAAATAAAATTGGAATTGTTTATTTTTTTGTTTTATTCGCAGGAAAAGCAGTTCACCTAGCGGTAAAAAAGTGGATAGAATAACAGGATTAGAGCCAGCAGGACCGGGATTTGCAACAGCTTTAAGGGAAAATCGTTTAGATTCTAACGATGCAAATAAAGTGTGATTCCCACCGATTCTGGTGCATTGGCGACGGCGAGCCCCACAGCTCATAATTGGAAATAGAAAATTAAATTCCGGCATAAAAGCGGCGGAAAAACTTGTACATTTTCACATCAACCAGTTAGTACCAGAAATGACTACTGAGGAATTGGTAAATTATCTCATAAAGAATGAAATAGATGCTAAATGCGAGCAGAGACTGTACCAGCGAAGTATAACGAACAAATTAAGGTACCTGAACTCTGGTCAGAAAATGTACGTATTAATCATTTTTTATTATGTCTTACAAAAAAGAACAGAATAACATAGACAAAAACGTCAGTTTTAATAATAACTCTGCTATACTGTATGATCAGAATGTTTAAGGAATAACTACAAACATTAATCTTTTGGAAACTCAAATAAGTTTATTGAAAAGCTATAAGTTCCTTTGTATAACTGAGCATTGGCAATCACAACAAAATATGAAAACAATTCAATTTGCCGGCTTTCACTTAGTATCATCATACAGTCGAATGACAGCCAAATGTGGAGGCTCAGCCGTCTATATTTCGCAAACTATCAGCAAATAAATACATTAATGAGCTATATGAGGACTTTACTTTTGAATGTGCAAACGCACATTAGATCTTTTATTAATAGAAAAACTTAGCTACTATGGTATTAGGGGAATTTCACAGCTGTGGGTTAAATCCTATTTATCTAAGAGAACACAAACTGTAAAACTAAATATAAACAATAAGAGTATAAAATCAGATACACTTGATATATCATCGGGAGTACCACAGGGTAGCATATTGGGACCACTACTCTTCGTCCTATGAATCAATGATATCGATAACTTACCTGTATTGAACAATAATAATAATAAATTACTAACAATAAATTATGCTGATGTCATAACTATACTGATCTCATGATAAAAATTGGAACTATGTTACAAGTACAGCAGACGACGTCGTCATGGCCTTGGAAACATGGTTGCAGGATAATGCGTTAATTTTAAATCATGATAAAACTAACATTATATTATTTAAAACAACAGACAGGGTTAATCATCCAAAAAACAATATCGTAATAATAAATAATCATGTCTACAATCTGTGTAAATCAGTGAAGATTTGGGAATTTTCATAGACGAAAACCTTAAATGGTTTTATCATGTAGGTTCTGTCACCAAACAGTTAAGTACTTTGTGTTATGCCCTTAGAAGATTTCAAAAGATTGCGACCGCTCACGGTATACGATGCATGTATTGGATTAAGGTATGGGATTGTGTTGTGGAGAAGCTGTACAGAACTAAATCAAATCTTCGTAATTCAAAAACGCATAATTAGATTAATGCTAAACATACCGTATTTACAATCGTGTCGTGGGCAATTTAAAGCAAATAATTTGCAAACTGTATACGGAATATAATATCATGGAGTTAATTTTATTTTTAGTAAAAAACCGTACGGTTTTCATGTATTATAACAAAAAACACGATTATCCTACTAGAGGTTTTATGTAGTTTATGCAGATGAGTTTGGTTTTATATCGAAGGTGTTAAAAATAAAGGACTTTTATCCATGTGGTGTTCAAGCTTTTTAAATTATCGCCTTGCATTATGCAGAAATAATGAGCAACATTTATTGGGGGATTTACTGATCATACACTTACCGGAGATTTTTATTTAATTACTAACGCTGAAGCTCCATTAGCACGGGGATAACTTCTTAAATTGACTTAAAATTGTATTAAAAATGTATCAATAATAAATTAAAAGTCTTACTTAAAAATTTTATTTTTTTAATCACCTTTTACAATTAATTTTTTATTAAAAAATCTTCTTTAAAATATAAGAATTGCACACATCTGGTATTGTGCATGAAAGACTTGAAACTGCTTTGTTGATAAAAATCCAGATTGAATGAGCAGAGAATTGACCTTTGCTTACTCGTAAATCTCCTGATTTAGATCTCATTACATGCAATATAAAGAAAATTAATTTTAAAGTTCATTTAAGGGTTATTTGATTGAAGGACACGTTTCTTATCATAAGATAATTTATTTTTAAATCTTGATCGATTACCAAATCTTCGTACTGAGCAAAAAAACACCTGAGATTACCCCCTATATAAATGGCATTGTTTTTCATCCAGGTATTGTAGTCTACATCCAAACAAGACAATGTGGAAGATATTCGCTCTTTTACTTCTCTGCGTCTGCGGCGGTAAGTATATTAATACATTTTAAAATTTTCCATCAAATCGTAATCTAATAATAAAAATTATTTGTGTAGCGTATGCCCGCGTTTCTGCCGGAGACATCAACTATTTCTTGTGGAATAGACGTGCTACTAGGGAAGAATTGAGGATTGGTCAATATGGGAATAACATCGATAGAAGCGCACCTGTTAAAATTCTTGTTCATGGTTGGACCGAAAGTATTAACTCTTTCTGGTATACTGGAGCTAGAACCGCGTATGTAGGAAGTGGTGCTAATGTCATTGCTATCGATTGGTCCAGACATGCCCAATTAACTTACCCCACTGCAGTTAATCGTCTTCCTGATATTGGACAATTTATCGCTCAGTTTATTAATGGATTGGTGAACACCCAAGGAATTTCGATCGATGACGTTCATTGTGTTGGTCACTCTTTGGGGGCCCATCTTTGTGGATTCACTGGTAATTTAGTTAAACACACAGTTAAAATATCAATTTTAATACTTTCGTTTCTATTGGATAATTAAATAGGAAAAGCTCTTAGGAATAGTTTTAGAACCACTCTTGGTAGGATTAGTGGTTTAGATCCAGCAGGTCCAAGTTTCACCACCTCCCTCAGTAGGAATCGTTTAGATTCTTCTGATGCTGTTAGAGTTGATACAATCCTCACCGATGCCGGTTTAAGTGGTTTGGGCATTAACCGCTCTTTGGGACACGTTAACTTCTGGCCAAACGGTGGTTCGGCTGTTCAACCAGGATGCCTTTATTGTAATACAATTACAAAAGCTTATTTCCAACACTCGTAATTCTATGTAATTTTAGATCCATGCAGTCACAACAGAGCACCAAGATTCTTTAACGAAGGCATCACCTCGAGAAGATTCGTTTCTAGACGTTGTGGTAGTTACTCTAGTTACAATCTTGGACTCTGCAGACTTAACCCACAGAATCTGCTAGGTGAATTTACTGATTTTTCAACTACTGGTGATTTCTACTTGTCTACTAGACGTATTTCTCCCTTCGCTCAAGGTTAGAACTTAAGTCGTTCATTGTATCCTAAAATATGTGAAATATGTATACATGACATGTATATCAATAAATAGCATACGGGTTGAATTTGGTGCAATGTTTTTTTTTTTCATGTTTATGATCAAAAGAGTAACAAGATTCCAAAGTAAAGATGATGGTTCTATTTTACCATCGAAATATATTTGCTCCTTCCCAATATAATATAATATATATATATTTTGAGATCCCCATGATGATTTCTACCTTATTAGATTCGATAGACATTATTTAATCTTTTAGTTTAATTAAGATTAATATCTTAATATTATTCATTAATATTTTTATTAATATTTTTAGTTTCAATATGAAAGTATAAGTTATGGTACGACAAAAACCATTTGGCTTGTTTATTTAAACCATTTGTATATGGTATCTTATTCTCTTCATCCATCTCTAGAAGATATCGCATCTTTCTGCGAATTATTTGGGTAACTACTTTTGGAGTTCCTCGACTTCTTCATCAAAGCTGTTCATCAAATCCTGTGTTTCTGCTACATCTAATGGATTATCAGGGTGGTGATGATTTCCAGTAAACTTATAAGAATTACCCATGCAAGGTATTTAAGTATTTTTAAGGAATTCAAGAAGTTTCAGATATTTTTAAGTTATATTCCGATAATTTGAGAACACATATTCTAACGATTTCTAACGGGGTGAGGAAGTTTCTAGAGAACTTACAAAGACGTAAAAGAACTATTTCGGAGATTAAAAAGAATTTTGGGTATTTCTAGATGATGTCCAAATTAAATCTAATGATTTCAAAATAGTGTTTAATTTCCACAAATGTGACGTGATTATCCAAAAACCTTTGAGAATTTTCTTACCAATTAAGAATCTTTTAAAGAGAAGATGTTGTCCTGCCTGGCCCTCACAATCTATTTGCGTTTCTTTATTAAAGGTTTTAGCAACGTAGAAAATCCGCAACATTGAACAATAGTTATACCTCTTGGAACTAAAAAAATCTTTGTGTTACATAATGGCAGAAACACCACATCAATGAGTTGGAATGTCTGGCGGTTATTTCACCACTTTCACCCATACTTGGAAGTTCAATAATTTACTCTTTACATATAGAGTAGATAGGTATCTGGCGCTGTTATGGTTGTAGACATTTAAGGATAAACTCCAAATTCCAGTTAATTTGGTCTCTTGTTTTGTAAGAATTTAAATTCAGATTATTATCAGATAAAAATCATTTTCTGTTATAGGATGCAGCGAAATCTTGGTTAACTCTAAGAAGACTGAACCTAAATCTTCCTAGTTTTGTGACAATCATCTAACCTTTACCTTCAAGGTGTAATAACTTTTTGTAATCTCAGAAGGTTTTAAATGGAGCTCGTATTTATAACGTAGAACAAAACTATGATAAGACCCATGTTAGTCCTCGCATCCATCGTCTGATGTGCGGCCTTAAATTACGTAGTCAAGGATGATTCTAAAAAAGGACTTCTTACTCAATTTTCAACCGTAGGACTAGTTGTAGGAATACATGTTCTGGACCTCTCACCACCTTAATCACCCTAAATGTAAGTTATAATCATGAAATATATTAACTTTTAACCTTCAAGTTTTGTATTATATTTTGTAATACAAATAGTGGGGAAGAGATAAACATTAAAGCGGTATAAAGGGTGATTGGATTTCAAATCTCAAGAATATGTGTCCACAGTCAACATCTCGAAATACTTATAAACGAATTTACCACAGTTTTGGTATTTTATATAGAAATCCTGAGTGGCTTATATTGATAAAAGAATCAGATGACTTTAAAAGGTAATTGACCTTTGTAAAAAACATCATTTTTTTAATCTCATGATTTAATAATCAGTAATCTAAATCGAAATTTAGAAAAAATATCGGTTGTTTTTCAGATTTAATGACTGAAGTCAGTATAAGTTTATTTTTTTTCTATAATACCTGTCAAATTGTTGTAAAGTTGGCAAAATTAACAGGGAGTTTTGTTTTATCATGTTTTGAAATAAATATGTCACACTGACGTTTGAGCTTTCGTTATTCAAAAAGGAAAGGTGCATAAAAAATGTTGTAGGGTGTTTATTTGCCATTTATATACCTAGAAAAGGTGTTTTGTTCTATTTAATTACTTTGTAGCACGTTTTTACAACAAACATGTACTTTGTTAAAATCGTATTTATCTAAAAATGTATTAGTTTTTTAACCTCAACTATTTAGTTACTGAAAATGTTACTAAAAATCAGGAAAACAACATAAATTTTATAAGGGTCCTAGATAATACCAACAGAAACCCTAAAAAATTTACATTAACTATACTCTGTTTTTAAGCCACGAGGAGTAAATGCGAAAGCCAGATTTACATTAGGAAAAATCACCAGAAAATATCACTAGATATTTTGGCGGTAAATTTAAATTAATAATAATTATTATTTGTTTATTTACTTATTATTGTGAAATTTGTTGTGAACGACTATTACGGTCACCATGTTTTAAAAAGAACAGATTTCACTCAATTAAATTGAAGACGCAAAAGGGTTTAAACAAAATTTACAACAATGACACGAACTGTCGAATTATCAATAACCTAACCTTCAAATTCAAAATCAAAATTGCCTGTGTGTGAACCTTCCTCGCATTCAACCAATCACGTGCAAGGTCAATCTGGTGATAAATTTAAAATACTCCTCCTGGTTTAAAAACAGAGTATAGTAAAAATATGTTTGTCATTAATTTTTAATGGGTCGTTTATGTTGTTAATAAATTGATAATATTTTGTGAGGCATAATATCAAATGTCAATAGGGTTAGAACTTAGAACCCTTAATGTTAAGTAATGAATAAGAGGTATAACAATGAGAAAGAATACAAAGTATATTAATAAATCTGTTTAAAAAGGCTAGACAAATTTCTTCCTCGTAGTCCAATCTGTTATGTTAAGTTTTGCAAATATCATTTTCATTTTGCCCTCTCTCTTCTGTTCTAGATTCCAAATGCTGCTGTTACAATAACATCGTTAATGGGGACGATACCAGCCACTACAACTACTTCCACTTTTCTTCTCTAATCATCCCTGATGAGGTCTCTGTTTCATACAATAATATTGAGTGTGCAGCTTACAGCAATAGATGCTTGACATAAAGCTTGGCTAAATTGCTATAATTATTACACACCGTTTGAATCTGTTCGTAAAAGTGACTATGTACAGGTTGGTATACAATAGATGCTACGGTGATCTGTATCTACGATTAACCTTAATTAATTGTGCGCGCTTGAGGAGCGTCTCAACATGAATATGGAAACATTCGTCTATGAGGAATTTCATTCATGTTCTCACCAAAGGTAAATTCGATATTATTTTGGGTGTCCACTTATCCCTAGTTTTGATTCATTTAAAAGCCGTTAATAATCCTATCGTATCTTTTGTGTCGTAGATCTGCTTTGATCTGCTTTTTTTAAACATGACAGTCAATGGTACTCCGATTATCACTAACATCATCAATTCAGAGATCGAGTATTTATTTATTTATAAATACAGCTAACAGGCAACAAAGGCCCAAATACAAGCTGCAAACAGTATACTTAAATATAAACAAAACAATCTGTGCTGTTTAAGAAGAAAAAAAAATAACATAAAACTAACATATACTCGAAGAACTCACGCTCATGTGTATAAAGCCGAACAACAAAAATAAAAGAATATAAACATAATATAAACATAATAAAAATAAAGAGTATGCGCAGAACGCATCTTCTATGCATTGAAATGATTCAATCCATACAATGCAATATGTTTCATCAATTTATGGTATGACTAAGCATAATATTCACATTTGCAGCTTTGTTACTAACAAACCTGAGATGTTCGTGGAAGGAGATTCTATGATCTGAAGTGATGCCTAGGTATTTAATGGTCCTGCTGTCACAATTTCCGTCTCTGCCACTGAGAAACATCTTCTCATAACCCAATTAATGTTTCTGTGAACATCTGTTCTGCCTCACACAACTAGTACTTGTTTAAAAAAGGATTTCTATATATGTACATAAAGAGAGGACTCTACAGCCTTTGTTGCATCGTTATTTCAATCACCATTTTCTCTCCTCTTGCTATTCTTACTCCCCAGTGGCTCTGTCTTTCATTGAATTTCTGATTTCTTCCATCCATGTCTTCACCGATCTCTTTTCCTTATCTGTTTCGGAAAACAGTTTATTACTTTCCATGTATCATCTCTTATTTGCTTGGCGTGTCCATATCAGTTGTCTGGCCTCCATTCTATCCGTTGTAGTGCAGATTCTATTTATGATCTCTTCATTATGAATATGTTCTAGACGTGATGTTTTGTTCGCTTGTAACTTTATTTCTCTATATGTATTATTCACTCCTATATACTCCCCTTATATAGGGAACTAATGTATACCAAATTCCAGTCTTGTGGAATGTTTTGTCCATGTGTGAAGCATTTATTAAAAATATCTGCCAGGGCTTTCATTATAACATGAGGCCCGTGCTATCTATACCTCGTCTATACGTTCTTTGAATTCTGACCTCACATCTGTAAGCAGTTGTCCATAATGTTCTCGTCATTCTTCTTCCACTATTAGACTGATACTTCCAGACTCTTTTCTTTCATTCTTCAGATTTTTGACTAGCTTGCTATTATTTTGTTAATGTTATATTGTACATAATAATTAATAAATAAGTTAGTAAGCGCAATATATCTTTTAATTTTCCATCAAGATAGTAAAAGAAACTATTGCAAATATATTTTTTGAACTAACAACATGATTAACATTAAAAACCAATTCTCATTGGAAATAACTGGTATTGAATGTGAAGATGACAACTTAATCGGTAACACTTATATTTTTTATCTTTAATAAATTTATTTATAAATTTCGACATGTAATCAGATCTTCGCTGATTACAACACATATAAATAGGAAGCATTTTCGCCTGGTAGTTAATAGTTGTCTACCTCAAAAAAGACGATGTGGAAGGTTTTTGCTTTCTTACTCCTTTGCGTCTGCGGCGGTAAGAATATTAATATATTTTTATTATTTATTCATTTACTAATTAACGTATTTTAAAATAACTTGTTTAGCGTATGCCCGCGTTTCGGCCGGAGACATTAGATACTTTTTATGGAATGGACGTGCCAATAGGGAAGAATTAAGAATTAATCAATATGGAAATAACATCGACAGAAACGCACCCGTTAAAATTCTTATTCACGGTTGGACCGAAAGTATTGACTCTTTCTGGTATGGTGGTGCTAGAACCGCGTATGTAGGAACTGGTGCTAATGTGATTGCTATTGATTGGTCCAGACATGCCCAATTAACTTACCCAACTGCAGTTGGTCGTCTTTCTGACATTGGAGAATTTATCGCTCAATTTATCAACGGATTAGTAAATAGTCAAGGAATTTCTATCAATGACGTTCATTTGGTTGGCCACTCTTTGGGTGCCCATCTTTCTGGATTTACTGGTAATCTAATTAAATATACATTTTAAAAAGATAGATATTTATTATTTTTTCTGTTGATTCATAATGCAGGTAAAGCTCTTAGGAATAATTTTAGAACCACTCTTGGTAGAATTAGTGGTTTAGACCCAGCAGGTCCAAGTTTCACCACCTCCCTCAGTAGGAATCGTTTAGATTCATCTGATGCTGCTAGAGTTGATACAATCCTCACGGATGCCGGTTTAAGTGGTTTGGGCATTAACCGCTCTTTGGGACACGTTAACTTTTGGCCAAACGGTGGTTCGGCTGTTCAACCAGGATGCCTTTA